TCCAGGTTTGCAAAGAGGTGACCCGCACCCCATTCCTGGCATAAATCTATAATCCTTTGAGGAATGTCCTTCCTCGCTTCCTGCGTCTCCATATACAAAGGAATATCCAGCTCATTCAAGTCTCGTCGCAACAATTCTAGTGTTCGTAACGTCAGATCCACACGAGGAGCGCTCGACAAATGAGCTGTCAGGTCTTCCGGAGAGAGAATATACAAGCCGATCAGAGGCAGGTTGTGTTCTCGCGCAACCTGATATGCCATTTGTAGGCCGCGATTGTCATGTAGTCGAAGATCTGTTTTGAACCAGTGAACGACGGCTGCCTTGGGCTCAATTTTCTGACGTTCATCGAACGTGTCTTCGTACGCCATCTGTAGGGATTCGATGGGTCGTTCCAGCGTTCCGTTATTGTAAGCCTCGCACCGCTCGTTGCACATCTCAGGGGGATAGAAGTCACGCAGGACAATGCCAAAGTCTTCTGTATCTTTGGCATGGGGATGTGGACGCGTAAGATCGGGCTTTCCGCGTTTATTGGTGTCTGATGAGGCACCATTAATGGCGGAAATGCTCGATGACTTGCGCTTTTTTGGTGGCATGTCGCGAATGGGCGCTATGAAGGCGCGTTGCAGAGATATTGTCCTGCAGGTGAGAACTTGTTGGGTATTGAAAAGTGGCCGGACGCGCAGACCCCGGAGAACCATACCGCGATTGATTTTTCGAAGGGCAATGGGAAAGGCTGGGTTTCGTTGAGCTCTGGGGTCAGATCGATCGAGGATCTGGACCGCGCCAGGGACGCTGACGTCAATACCCGGGAGGTTATCTCAGCGAAACAACATCCCTGCGCTGGGACCTGTTCTAGGTGTTGCTGACTGTGCTTTAAACAATATAGGCTACCTTCTACATGTTCTTGCAAGAAGCCTGTTAGATTTGGACTTTGACCGATAGAGTCCTTGCGCGACATGGCGCATTCAATTGCCGATTATAATGTTCCTAGACAGAGGCAGTCATGCACTAGGCTGCGCGTTCAACATCTCAATTAGGCAAATAAGCAGGTGGCCGCACGTTCGTGTATCATTCATCTTTCAACAGGACATGGGTGGATCCGCAAAAGGTGGTTTGGCTGTTCACTATAGTGAGCAAGTCGTCGGTAGTTCGTCTGGAAAGGCGGGTGTTTGTACCCGGGACAGAAGCCGAGTCATTGCCCAATTCCAAGCTATGATAACGATTCTCATACTAGGTTAAGCAGTATCTCTGTATAGAAGGAGATATTGTACCATTTCTTAAGGGACCTCTGCGACTAAGGGGCTCAAGGTCCATATAAAGGGATGCAAGCATTGGGTACAACTTGACCTCTAAGGTAATTGGTAGGTTCGCATTTTGATGAAATTAGTATGTGTATGTGAAACTCATAATCTTGCATTTGGTGTCTATAGCAGTTCATAGACGGGGTGTTGGGTTCGAGTAGTATTCCCTGCCGATACAAGGGCATCTCGAGGAGAATGCACAAATATGAACGGTTCAAGTGTAGGAAAGGCTTCCCCATTGACAACTAAGAAGCTTCACTCCGCAAGAAAAGCGAAAATGGCATTGAATAGTGCCATGTGTCATATGTAACTTGATAGATAGTATTGGGAGAGGAACCGAAGTATACGGAGGACATTTGCGATTTGTGGGAACTACCCGAAGAGGCAGGAGAAGAAGGCAAGTGTGGTGATTGGTGCCTGAGGCCACCAGACAGGAGGTGTTGTGACTTTTTGACTTTCCGTGAGTTTCCCCCGCCAAGCACGGCAGAATGAAGAATTTATCCCAACAGCGGATGACTCCTTTTTGAACAGCAGTCAACAAGTCAATGGTGATGATGTTTTAACTTATTAAACTAGTGCAATTTTGCACCATTCTCTATTGTGACATCCACTGTACGATCTAATACAAATAGATGTCTTGATTGTGCTGCCCTTGATGCACGCCCTGCCAATGGCAAGACGGTTTGGAATCTGATGGAAAGAGGCTGAATGAGGGTGACTCTAAGCTATCCCCCCCCCAAAGCGGACCACGTCAACCAAATTCAAAAAGCATCCGTGGCATCTTCTTGCCTTGCACTTTCTACTCCACCGCTGGTGTGTGACAAGCCAGTGAATACACATCACTGTATAGCCAGCAGCTGCGTTATTTGCATTCGGCCCAGTATTTGTCTTGCTTGCACTTGTCCCTGTGACTACTAGCACGTAGATGGCTGCGCTATTCCTCTTCTGCTCGGGCCTGTTCTGGCTTTAACTCCGATCATTATCTCCGAATACCCAGTTGTTATCTCCGAAGGATATCATTCACAGCAGTCATACCTGTCATGTCAATGTTCAGGTCCCCTGGAGAGGTATCATCCTCAGAGTCGTCTTCGGACGCGTCATCGGACGAAAGTCAACATGATGTCTCTACGGAAGACTGCGTTCCCGCCCAAGGTACACAGCAGAGTAAGGAAAATGGCATTGATGAATCTCGCCTCCTGCAGGACAATGCCCATCGAGACTATGAGGCTGATTCCGGCAAGGTGCTGGAGGGTGATACAAAGGGCCATTCAAACATGATGACGGCTGCCCTTCTCGAATTCTACTGTCTTAGTCGGGCGGCAGACATCTTAAACAAACAAGCGGGCGCCAATGGACAGTACACGCGTGACTCGCCTGAAGTGCGATATCTCGGGAACCAGTTGTACACCCACAAGTCTGCATTTCTGTCCTCAGTAGGTGCGGTGTCTCAGGGTATTGAAGGAGATGAATGGGGGGCAACAAGACAGTATTATCGCGACAACCTTGATATGTTGGGCATGTCTATGCTAGACAAACTCAAACTCGACGACGTCGGTGGACAGCCATCTGGAATCATAGCAGCAAACGATGCAGGTCCGGGCTTAGAGCAAAGCAAATCTCTTCAGCTGTGGTCGACCAATCCAGGTTTGAACATGATGCACCCCGGATCTAGTGGTGTTGGACTGCCAGCCGGCCAGAAGCAATTAATTGGCCATGAAAACGTCCCTGCCTCACGAAACTTTCCATTCGACCTTACAGCTTTGCTTAATCCGTCAACACAATTTCCAGGAAGCTCGACAGTTGGCTTGCCTCTGCTTCAGCCCAAACCACAACCGCCAAGCAGTCATTTGTCACGTTACACTATGGAGTTTTCTGAGGTCAAAGTTCTGGGCCGTGGCTCCTTTGGCGAAGTATACCACGTCAAAAACCACATAGACGACCAGGACTACGCAATCAAAAAGATTCCTCTCAGCCAGCGACGACTTCAGCAGCTACAATGTGGCAGTCAGAATCAGCTGGAAAAAATCATGAAGGAGATAAGAACACTCGCTCGACTCGAGCATACCAATGTCGTTCGATATTATGGCGCCTGGGTGGAACGATCTCCCATTTCCGGTTACGCTACTTCGCTGCACGAGCAATCTGAAGACATCAACTCTGCGCAGATGCAAAGCCGCACTTATAGCATGGGAATGACAGACAGTAAAAGCTTCGGGATCGTTTTCGAACGGTCAGAGACTTCGGATGTATCACAGCATTCATTACAATTGGGTCCTGAGTCAAAGGGCTCCAGTGCATATCATCGCCGTCAGAGCCACTCCAGTGTGGGCACCCACACATCAAAGGCATCCACTGCACATGGCATGGGGGAAGATGATGAGGTAGAGACCATCCCGCGCAACTTCAGCCTCGCCTCGCAAGACCCGCTGTCTACCTTTGGTGGCACCGATGATGATATTTTCACGGATGGCCTCAGCGAAGATCCATCCAGGCTACAAATTCAGCGCCGATACCGAAGCGCTGCTCAACTGCCCGCTGTTGTTCTGCATATACAAATGTCGTTACACCCGATCTCGCTGAGCTCTTACCTCAACTCACAACCAAGCGCAAACACGGAGCACGACAAAACGCTCCCACGGCGCCACTGCTATCACCTGGTGCCTTCTCTAAAGCTAATGCTGGACATAATCTCCGGCGTTGATTATCTGCATTCCAAGGACATTGTGCACCGCGATCTGAAGCCCGCTAATATCTTCCTTTGTGCCCCAGAAAAGAAGCAATTGGATGGATGTTCTCCCTGTGCAAGCGCGCACGGACCGATTTATAGATACTGCCATCCTCGTATCGGTGATTTCGGTCTTGTCGCAGACATTTCGCACATCAACGACTGCCCTCCAGAGGGTTCTTCGACACAGCCACAAGACGCAGAGATCTACACCGTCGTTGGAACTGAATTCTACCGCCCACCTTTCCACGCCAGCAAGGCAGAAATGACAGAACGCCCACGCCAGCATGGCAAACCAGCATCCCTATACGTCATTGACGAGACCCTCGACGTATTCGCGTTGGGTGTTATTTTGTTTGAACTGGTTTATCCACTCAATACCAAGATGGAGCGCCAGCTCGTTCTCACCGGGCTCACCCGAGGACCACCTGGGCGAACTTCAACCGGACCTATATTTCCCGAAGACTTCTCACACAAACTTCATATGGGCTCCATGACCCTTGCTGGTGGAACGTCAGTAGCTGAATATGTAAAGACGTGCATAAAGGGCATGCTAGAGCCAGATCCGCAACAGCGCTGGCGCTCCCCGCAGATCAAGAAGTATTTGGAGGAGCTTCTTTCCCAGGTGCAGGGCCTAAGCTAGACTAGTGGTCTGTAGCATGACCTCCGAGGGTTGGAATGTGCTTGACGGTAGAGAAGTGATCGATGGATCAATTAGTTGGGGTTGGCGACGTGCACATGGTCAAGAACATACTGGAGATCTGGAAACGGGAGTCGATTAGCGTGGGCAAGGAAAAGGGATCATGTAAATTATCTAGAGGTAAGCATAGCGATGTGCCGAATTAGATTGATAGCATTTCCCTGCATGTTGTAACACAGACTATTGAATGTTGTGAGACTATTCCGTACAACGTAGAAAGCGGCGAACTCCCCGACCGCCACAACCAGCAGGGCCTCGGCGATGCTCCGACCAGCCCGAGCCCCTTCTCCACCACCGCCATTTTGCGGGGGTGCAAACCGAGCAGTTACATCTCTTCAATTCATGACTGTGTGGCTACTGCGTCACCCCGCAACGATGATATGCCGAAGCACGCGGGCGATCAGTTCCCCGACCGCGGGCGCTTTCCGTCCATACAACGGCGGTATATATCTCAGCCAAATCCATATCTTCGCCCATTCAATCCCTTGCGTGTATCTTCCTTGTGCAGGACCTTCTACTCTAGGCATTTCCAATTTCCATTGACCGCCATTGTTTAAGTGGTGAAACATAGCACAATATCGGCTCAACTGCAGGCTTCCATAGCATCCTACTACCTCCATCGGACAAGATGGCGAGGGAGAGGCAGTTGTCTGCACAGCAGATTTCTGAGCACAAGACGCCCGACGACTGCTGGATTGTGGTAGACAACCAGGTGTGGGATGTGACGGATTTCTTGGAAGAGCATCCGGGAGGATCGTCAAGTAAGATCCCAGCGTCAAGGTTTACGACAACTAGAAATCGAGACTGACACGTCAACTCAAGTTATCCTGAAGTACGCCGGACGCGATGCCACCAAAGCATACTCTGAAGTTCATGCTCCCAGTGTCATCAAGTCACACCTATCACCAGAGCGAAATATGGGAGTGCTGGATGTAGCGACAATTAATGAGGACTGGTTGAAGCAACCGCCCACTCAGAACCCGCCCTTGCTTCTGGAGAATGAAAAGCCACCGCTAGATACCTTGATCAATTCCCACGACTTCGAATTGGTAGCATCAAAAACTGCCAGTAAGAAAACATGGGCGTTCTATTCCAGTGCTTCAACAGACCTGATTACGAGGGATGCGAACAAGCTGTGCTTTGATCGTATATGGCTCCGACCGAGAATCCTAAAGAATGTGCGATCAGTCGACACGAAGACCAAGCTGCTTGGCGTCAATACCGAGCTTCCGCTCTTCGTTAGCCCAGCAGCAATGGCGAAGCTCATCCATCCAGACGGCGAGTTGGGAATTGCTAAAGCTTGTGAGAACAAAGGCATTTTCCAAGGGGTATGCTCGTACCTCTTCACCTGAATATTGCCATCATTGCTTTTTCATACTGAACTCCCATATAGGTCTCCAATAATTCCTCCTATCCCCTCGATGAGCTGCGCAGTGCTGCACCATCGGTAAATATGTTCTTTCAGCTATACGTGAACCGCGATCGTGCAAAGTCCGCTGCTCTCCTTCGCCAATGCTCCGCCAATCCCAACGTCAAAGGTATCTTCATCACGGTGGATGCCGCCTGGCCTGGGAAGCGGGAAGCAGATGAGCGTGTAAAAGCCGACGAAACACTATCGGTCCCAATGGCGCCATCCAAAGCAAAGAATGACAAGAAAGGTGGCGGTCTGGGACGAGTAATGGCAGGATTCATTGATGCCGGACTGACCTGGGAGGATATGGCGTGGGTGCGACAGCATACACATTTGCCCGTATGCCTGAAAGGTGTGATGTCCGCTGATGATGCGATCCTTGCCATGGAAGCCGGGCTCGACGGCATCCTGTTGAGCAACCATGGCGGGCGGAATCTCGATACCAGCCCACCTTCCATTGTCACTCTATTGGAGCTACACAAGCGGTGCCCGGAGATTTTCGATCGGATGGAGATTTACGTCGATGGTGGTATTCGGCGGGGAACAGACATTCTCAAAGCAGTGTGTCTGGGCGCAACAGCGGTTGGAATGGGACGCAGCATGCTGTTTGCAACTAACTATGGACAGGAGGGTGTAGAACATTTGATTGACAGTAAGTGTGCTCTTTATCCAGCTTCCTTTCCCTACACTTGGCCAATTTCTGCTTGCTAAAAACTCCCACCACCAGTCATGAGAGACGAGCTCGAGACAGCCATGCGCAATGTAGGAATTACTAGCCTCGACGAGGCTGGTCCCCACCTAGTCAACACAGGTGATATAGATCACCTGGTCCCCAACTCAGCCACCCATCCCTACGCACGAATGGTAGCTAAAGGACGACGTCCCACTGGACCGAAGCTATGATATGAATGATGAGAGTTAGCTATAAGGTCTTAGACAGTTTGGTAAATACAGAAACGCATCCTCACCGCTTAGATAGTCGCAAAATATCCCCATCTTAAGCCGCGGACGTGAGGATCTCTGATTGGGTAGACTCAAGACTCCTTGAGCACCATTCTGCGTATCACTACGAAACAAGCTAAACAATTGCATGGATTCAAGTGGTACTGACATAGAAGGGCTAAGTTCATTGCCAGTAGTACCTGAAATGTCGGCAATTAAACAAGTTGAGGGATGAAGTCAAATCCTTAGAAGGAACCGCTTATACCTAGCAAGCACCGTTTATGAAGCTTTGTGAATTATCTCCGGATTCGGAGAACCACTCCCCACAACTGACTCGACACACGCAAGGAAAGAGACGACTGGAGATCGAGGGAACCGGTGGAGCCGGGCCCGTTTTTGGGATCATCGACTTCCTGTCATCTCGCTTAGCCGCTGGCGTGTTTCTTCCCGGCGCCAAACCCCAATCTATCTCCGGCATTTGACTTCGACAGTTCAACTTCATCTCGTCCATTCGATCAATCTAGCTTTCAGCGCATCTCAAGCTCGTATGATGGATCCGCCTTGCAGGCATGACGACTCAATCGACGACTGCGTGATTCTTCATGGTTCTGCCAATCTGCAGCCCCCATGACTTCTGAAACAGCGAATCTCCGAGCAACGCCATCGAGCTGCCTCGGCCATAGATCCTTTCATCAAACTGGAATTGATCTGGAGATGACGGAAGCTTCGCTTAGCTTGATAGTTAATCAAGAAATTTGGCAGAGCTGATCATCCGAGAAATGTTAAATAGCATAAACCGCCCTCGAAATGATTCTGCTCTGCAAGCAGATCGATCTCTTCCGACTCGTCAGTCTTTCATTCCTTTCACTTCTGAACTTCATTGATTGAAGTTCTTCCATTCTTTCGTCACTCTTTAGATATTCCGCTGTGCGTGAATCAGTACAAAATGTCTCTTTCTAAGATTGCGGGAGTCTTGCTGGCCTCAGCTTCCCTTGTGGCTGGACATGGGTATGTGTCGAGCATCGAGGTGGACGGTACTACTTACGGTGGTTACCTGGTTGACACCTACTACTACGAGTCCGATCCCCCGGAGCTGATTGCCTGGTCCACGAATGCCACGGATGATGGCTATGTCTCTCCCACCCAATACGAGAGCTCCAACATCGTCTGCCATCGTGGCTCCGCTCCTGGTGCACTTGAGGCTCCGGTCGCACCGGGTGGAACCGTCAAGATGACCTGGAACACTTGGCCCGATGACCACCATGGGCCAGTGATCACCTACCTGGCCAACTGCAATGGCTCTTGTGCTGACGTCGATAAGACGGCCCTGCAATTTTTCAAGATCGATGCTGGTGGCCTGATCGATGATTCCGAGATCCCCGGCACCTGGGCTACCGACAAGCTTATCGACAACAACTACACCCGCAGCATTACCATCCCATCTGATATCGAGGCCGGAAGCTATGTTCTTCGCCACGAGATTATTGCCCTGCACGGTGCTGAGGACTTGGATGGCGCCCAGAACTACCCCCAGTGCATCAACCTGAACGTCACCGGAAGCGGCACTGCCACCCCGAGTGGAACCCTGGGAACTGCCTTGTACAAGGACACCGACCCCGGCATCTACGTTGACATCTGGCAGAGCATCAGTAGTTACACCATCCCCGGCCCGACCCTCTATACCGCTGGCAGCACTGCTACCGCGGCTGCTGCTACGACCACCACTGCTGCAGCCACCAGCGCATCGACGACTGAAGCCGCTGTCGTGACGTCTGCTGCCGCCTCTTCCGCAGGCACTGGATCCCAGACCACCATGGTCACCTCCTCTCGTCCTCAGCCCACTGGTAGCTCCGACAGTTCCTCTGGTATTGGTAGCTCTGGCAGCACCAACAGCCAGTCCGGCAGTGGCTCAATGGCTGGCGGCCAGTTCGGTCAAACCCAGCCTGGCATGGTAGGATCCGGCAACGCCAGCCCTTCCGACTCGGCCTCTACCCCCACCAGCTCCACTCCCAGCGCTGCTTCCAGCTCCGCATCCTCGGCTACTTCAGGCGTCTTGAGCGGCTCTTGCAGCCAGGAAGACTACTGGTACTGCAATGGCGGCACGGCGTTCCAGCGCTGCGTCAACGGCGAGTGGGATGCGTCCCAGAGCATGGCTGCCGGCACTGAGTGCACTCCTGGCATCTCGGAGACGCTGACGATCGCTGCTTCTTCGAAGCGTCGCAGTGTGAGCGGTCTGCGCCGTCGTCGCTTGTAACATAGATTGCAGACTATCATGTTGTGAGTGGTGTGTAGAGGATCTGCGGCATACGTGGCCTGCATCTATTTTCTCTCCATGTGTATATTTACATTGCCTTGACCAGCTCTAGAAGCTTTGATAGTGAAAGACATGGAGTCAAATACCAAGCGTATAACGCGAATCTTTATCCCATCGCGTACCATTCCAAGCTTATTGTAGCCTTATCTCAAATGTGTCAGATACTTAGCTTCTTGATCTATACCAGTAGACCAATCTTAGTCATTAGATCTCTAAATCATCCCTCAATACAGTAATTGCTATCAACACTGACATTTAGCGGAAGTTATAGTGAGTGATCTTTCCGTATTGATATCCTCAACTGCTACAGAAGGCACCGTGGCTGTACCGTATCTTGGTAGAATGTCATAATAGTATGAGCAAGGCATTGGATACTAGAAAATGGTGATAAAAAGTGCCAGACTCGGATGCGTATCCATGTCATGCGTAGACGCTTTATGATAAACCGGCCACGGGCCTGATTCTCGGTTACTTCGCAATGCTGTTTGTTGAGACATTCACTGCAGCCAGGCAGCTGTCAGCTGATCCTTCGCCTCTTCTTCCTGCGTGGCCTCTGACCACTACCTCAACCCAACCACCAACCATCTTCTTGAGATCTAGATAGATCAAATCCATATATCTTTGCCCCTTCGTCTTGACACTGTTCTGCGTGAAGGCCGAGTCCGATGACATTCTGTCATAGTAATGACCATCTTTCCTTCCTGAGTATCCGAGCAATGTAGACTGTGGAGCCTTTCATGAATAGGCGCAGGGCGCACAGGCGAAATTCAAATTATGTCCTTTGATACATAGACCACAGTAGTACGAGTCCAGCTAGCGTGGACAAGGGGCCGGAGAGGTGTGGTCGAAAGAAAAGCTCGGTAATAATGACCCGGCGAGCTGCAGAGGAAAAGCAACATTGGCATGCCACTGGCATGAAAGAGAGGAGGGAGGCTTCACCCATTCACGGAGACACCTTCAACTTCTGGGAAGTGGACGAGGCATACAAATGCTTAAGGAATCTGGGTGAGCCTTGGGGTACAACATGTTTGCTGCCAAAATGCGGATGACGTTGCGTTCCTGCTTGCTCCGGAGGGGTTCCCTAGTACTGGTAGGTTACTGATTAGATGAGTATGTTGTACGACACCAAATTGATAGAAGACATACATTCTATCCCCACACTAAGGATGTGGTAAGGTGGTGGGTGATGTTAATGTAGAGTGATTGTCCTCCCCCCTCACTGAGCTAGTGTATGCCGTGTAGCGTTGTAGCGTGCACTCCTTCTCCCAATCTTCTTTTTGAATACATGTGTATTAATGTGCATTCCGGCGTCCAGATGTCGATCGCATACTGGTAATCCTCCTCGTGGAACCCTCCACATGCCGAGGACTGGGCTACATGTTTGTCCCCTGCCAGCGAGACACAGCGAATTTTTCTTCCCTGTTCAGTTCTGTCATCCCTTTCTTTCTTTCTTTCTTTCTTTCTTTTTTCTTTTTTCTTTTTTCTTTTTTTCTTTAGCTTTCCCTCATTCCCTCTCACCCTTTTCTTTTTGTCTTATAATTGGTGCAAATACTAGCTATACCGTTATCGCCGTGTTTGGAGACAGAAGCCGTGCCAGTTTGGATCGACCATCCCCCTACTTCAGGATAGCATGTCCGAGAAGGTTCCAACGTAACTTGCCATCTTGCAGACCCCCTTTTAACTACTTTATATAATTTCTCGGCAAAACAGGAAGTTGTCATAGCAGCAAACCAATATCTACTCTTGTTGTTGAGGACGGACCGAAGGTGTCGCTAGTGACACAGGCTAATTGTGCAGTGACAAATATCTTGCAGACACTATATATCTTAAGATTAGGGTCCCGCCACCCAGAAGCCGAAGAGGAGTCGAAATTTTATTTCCGATGCTTAGGGAGTGGGCAGGATCCCAAGAGCCCGTCCACTTATAAAGCTACCGACTTTTCTTCCCACCACCCTATCAAAGCAGGGTTCATTTTAAAATGACAAGTCTAAGTGCTTCGTAGTCCATTGACTACGCTGTTCAGCCAGCATCTCATTGGTCTGCCGGAGTTCGGGCACTTAGCATGGCAGAAGCAATGACGCATGTGTATCCTCAGCCGTTCAGCCGCACGGGTGGGTCGATAAACCAAGCCACCTCAATAGTTTCATTCTTGCTTTTGCCTTTCCTGCTTGCGGAGTGCCCCAATGTAGTTCGACCTGCGGGGTAATCTCCTATCACGAGCGCATTGAAGCCTGCCGCGAATGCGGCAGGAGACAGGTTGCACCGACTCGGGTGAGAATGCAGGAGATACGCAGCTTGACAGGAAGAGATCATCAACTACGGCTTCCTTTTACAGCACAGCAGGCGAACACTTCTCTCGGTGCTTGGACTGCACGGTGATCTGGTCTCTGATATCGCTGGCATGTTTCTAATTGGCCCACGGCCCTTGCACACGTTTTGCTGGCGGGTAGGTAAAAAGCTGCATGATCTGCAGCACAACTGGCTGCATTTGCTAACATTTTAGATGCGAGTGGCGAAGTAGAAATTCTTGGAGAAAGATAGCCAAAAGCTAGAAGTGTGATAATATACCGAAACACTAAGTTACCCATACTAGTATGTATACCTCAACCGTATGAGTGGATCATGCAGTCGAGCTACATCCAATGAGTGAGCTAATTTAATCTACCCTGCGTAGTAGCATTGCCACTCCAGAGTCGGCTGAGTGCGGCTGAACCCAGCTAGTCCACATCTATTTATCTTGTTCTGTGACACTCGGTGGAGCGTCTATGGAGAATATTTGACGGGGGCATCACAGAGGTCTAGGATGTTTACCCACTGTCGTGTTGATGGGAAATGATCTTCCACATGGATTGGCATGCTATGGGATCCCTTCCTTCTAATTGTTGGATTGCGAGAGATGGCTCACTCAACCAAATTGCTATAACTCCAGTGTTCCACGAGCATTTTCAATTCCCTGTTAAATTCCGACTGTCCATAGTCGATAGGGGCCGGTAATATAGTATGTAGACTAGGCGCTTGATCTTCCTCACTGCCCACAATCCTTCGGTCATCGTATGGCAGCTCATAATCAATTAGGCAGAGAGAATCTTTCTCGGCAAGAAATGGTAGACCTAGGTCTACCAGCGCTGTTTACTACCATCTACATTTCCTACCTTGGGCCGATGGCAAATACCGTTATATTATGTAATGATTTTCACATGAAGTCGAGTTGTCGATAACTCAAAAGGTAGATGGGTCAAGTCTCCTTTCGCTTGGATGAATAGCAGCCCTGCCACCGTACCTCATGCATGGTTTTGTTTCCTATCTAAAGTAACAATGCATTAGGACTGCCAATTTCGGGGATTGAAAATAAGTAGGCTTAAGAGAACTAGACTAAATGCATCTCCCCGCACTAGCCTCTCCCACGGGTGTCATTGGAGAATTTACTACCATGCTAATGCGGGTAATCTCAAGCTGAGGGGATCTCTGGCCCACTTGGCAGTGTAATACTATTCTACAGACATTGCGAGAAGATCGGCTGAAACTAGCATATATTGGGAAAATGAAGTGGTGGCTACGCAGTTGGTGTATCTCCGAATTCTCACTGAGGTATCCTAAACGGGGCACCTGAGCATTAAGTAGGCGATTGACAAAGGAGCTGAAAGGTTTAAGAACCCCGCACCAATCAGTACAAGGGATATATCGATTGGGTAATAAACATTACTGATTACAGTATCTATGGTAGTAGGTGTCTCTATTCGTATATTCAAGGCCCGACACCCCAGGTCTGAATTCTCACTTAGCAGCCTTCCATCTATCAGCAACATTGTCATCCTCACAGCTCTCAATCCTTTCCCCTTACGCTCATACAATTTTTAATTGCTATAACCGACCAGGCAACTCCCTTCGCCCCCACTCTCAATACGCTCAATATGAAGGTCTCTTCAATTATTCCCACTGCCGTTTTTGCTGCGTTTGCGGCTGGTGCGCCCGTTGCGAGCGAGGACAGCGTAAGAACTCATTTCCCCGTAATTTGTTGTATGATCTCTGATAATTTTGGTTTGGTACCGGAATAGAGCATCAGTACTTGTCCTGATTACAACGCACTCCAATGCTGTTTTGCCTGTCAACAAGTGCCAGCAGCAAGCTCGTCGTATGGATCTATATGTTGCGCCGCTTGTGGATGTTAGGGGACCACTCGAGCAAAATTGCAGATTTTTTCAGACTTACTCCAACAAGCTCGTCCTCTCATCTACGTCTTTATGATATGTTTCGCTTGGATTTTGTGCCTCAGTGCAGGATTTCCCTGTCAACCAGGTTTTCCTGTGCTTTTATGTGAATGCAGAGGCTTAAATGTAACTGTTTACATGCCTTGTTGCAGAGTTGATGACTAGTCTTGGGCATTACTACTACAATGAATTCATATGATATGTTACTCCCTGTCTAGTTTAGATAATAGTTCTATTGGTGTTCTAAATCTATGATTTCGAACCAGAAGAGGCACTGGGACATGCCTTTATCCCCGACGTTCTCTACTTGCATCCTGCGACGATGTCCAGTATGACCTTGAGTTGTCTCCAGATAAAGATGCATTAAAGACCATAGAAGTTGAAATATTGAACACCAGGAGAGGTACGCCAGACTCGATTTCTAGAGATATTTACCCTCCGGTAGTAGAAGGCTTGTATCTCTGCCGTGAATTCATTAGTAGGCAGCGATCTTGACAGATATATAGCAAAGAGAAGAATAAAACAAATCCTTGATTGGCTTTGCACTGCACTTTACATGGTGATAACCATCACCATTAAAGACTTTCCTTGCTAGCACAAAAGATCATTCTTATCCATTTTTGGGTCAGATTGCAGGGTGGCAAGCTCTCTGGTCCAACAAGACGTGTATTGGGGGACAGTGGAATAGGCCCGAACCGCCCGACACCCGGGACCCCAGGAAACGAGCTAATTGGCCCCCCACGGCCATCAGTACGTCTTAGCGGGTGATCTAGATATGAGCTAGTTGCAATCGGCATGCCGGCTATTTAATACACCCCGTGACAGATAAGACCGAGATTCAGTATTCGAGCAGGAATAGAAATTTGGAATTTCGTAGCGGATCATTACTACTTTTGTCTCATTTTACCTGGAGGCATCACACTTCCAAAGTCACATACTTTAGTGCCATTGGGAAGGCACGCATGATTGGGCCTTGAGCAGGATTCGCTTGCACCGATGCACCGCGCATGTTACCAAACTGCTGCCACCGTATTGGATATATACCTTTATTGCTAGTTAAGGTCGAAGTTAGCTTCCTCTTGGGTGGGGTAAGAAGGCTCATGATTGAGGACTGAGGACTAGGGCTGGAGCTTGTTGAACTTTGCAGCACTAAGCATCTATGACAACACAACCCCTAAGCTCTTGCCGGATCACAAATGATATTGCTAGCTACAGTCATACCTTGAAATGGCTAGGGAGAAAGAGTAATTTCAATTCGGCTACTATACTGTCCGTGCTGTAAGGGAGTATACCTTCTAATGCGTGTTTATGTCTTACTGCAGGTTGGGGTGTGGAGCCGAAAATTGCTGAACATGCCTACCTGTACCTGGAGACTTCTGTCACCATTGATCATCGTTGATCATCAAGGGTTGGTTTGTTGCCGAGTACGGGTTCTTCACCCCCGCGGTGTGGTTGGGGAATGGCATGCTGTCAGACGTGTGGTTCTGGCAGTTCCTGTCAACGTCTCCAGAACTACCCCACGATCCTTACTGTAATGTTCCATCCCCTTGCTGGCAACTGTTAGGAAAGCTCAGGATATATGTAGCACATCCATGCCTGTCTATAGAAAGGATAGAGACATGGGCTGACTATGACATGGTATGTTGTAACTCCTTGGTCGTCTGACCGTCATCTAGGGGAAGGCTAATCAAGACCGGGATTAAGAAAGAGAAAGGGAAGGCATGGAGATGTGTCCATCGATTAACATCATATATTCCTCAACGTAAATGGAGGGCCTACCTTCAGCATCCAATACTGTTCTGCCGCAGAATGATAGCCTGTACTACCTACCGATCGGAGCAGACCGCTCCTTATCAGATCAGCAATGAATGTAGGCACCGCATTGTGTCATCCCTTAAATGTGAATCACAGGAAGTCTGATGATTGGTTCTAAATTTTCCACAAGAACTCCCTTGCTTTCTACCCCTCTGTAGTGAAACCTCATGTCCTAAAAAAAGCGGAGTCATAGCGCTGGTGTTATATTAGTCTAACATTTCCGGCTTCGCAGCTACCCTGTCAATCTCATTTCTCAATACAAGACTAATACAGTGAATATATAACACTAGACTGAAGCTTGTCCCGACAACAACGCTGCTCAATGCTGTGCAGGTTGTGCTTTGGCCATCTTTGGTGCTGACAGCTGCTGTAAAAAATGCGGTTGCTAGGTTCCCAAAGCATTCGATATTTACGTGGTAGTGAGGTGATGCTACTATTAGATCACCTTTGAAACCTATTGATAGTCAGTCACCCTGTATTATAGGAAACAATTAAGTCTAACTCAGCTTGCCACGATTATGTGGCGCATATATCTACGATCGTATCTGGTTTGAAAAATTTTGGAGACGCGAATCATTGTGAGACTACCCAGCGGGACAGATTGTATTATGTAGAGGGAATCAACACACTGCAATACTTCCACATCCTCATTCAGGTTGGCGCGCCCTGCTTTCCAGCTTATCCACCCAATTCATTGGTATTTGCTTTTGGCTGGGGCATGCGCCCAAAATTGTGAATTAATGCGGAATATTTGGTATTTTGGTGGGAGTATCAGTAGTTTCTGGCAGCCTTACGCAATTGATGTTTTATATGGATTATTTTGTTCTGATTCTCATGTTTAAGGTAGTCCGGTGAGGTTTTCTGGCCTCTTCCCATAACTTCCACCCAGTTGCCATTTCACGGTTCAAGGAATAGGTAAGCCTCATTCACCGCTATATCACGGTTACACAAAATCTGCGCTCGGATGCAGATGATAGTCTCACGACTCTGGGGTTTTGGCACGGATCGGTGTGGTCGAGCCGAATGGGTGGGCTCCTTGCTCGATCTACAGACCTTACTGCTTAAAAGCGCTACCGAAGCTCTGTACATTACCGAAGCCGAAAAAGCAATTGTCCCATAATCGGCAAGTCCGGTGACATAGACAGGTAAGGTAAGAAGGGATATCTAAACCTCAAACTTGCATGATGCTGAGTCATTTATCAGTTGTGTCCCTGGGTTATAAAGCAGCACAAGTCGTCCCCAGTTCTGGAGGCTTTCCAAGATACATCTATACTCCCGACCAGTTAAGCCCTATATCAAACCACCAGGAAACCTATTTCCCCTGACACCAAATTTCGAACATGAAGTTTTTGACTATCCTCTCCACCGCCCTCTTCGTCGCCTTTGTGGCAGCTAACCCTGCCAACGAGGATATGGCGAAGCGACAGGTAAAGGAACCGGTGACAGAGCACTCCTTAGCGGATTTTGTATCATATCACTATCAGCTCGTCGTAACACAGAGCCTTGACGAGGGTTGTCCGACCGGACAGGCTAGCGAGTGCTGCCTCTCTTGTTGGGACCAATACAACGAAGATCATACCACTGATCCGGCAAACTGTTGCCGCGGCTGTGGTTGTCAATAGATCGTATCCTATCTGATACACGAATTCAGCCCTCAAGTCAAGGCAATGATATGTGCAGAGATTGAGCAGATATACAGTGACTGGACTAAGTTGATTTTGTTGTATCCTGTACATAGGAAAGTCAAACAATGACGGTTCAAGATTTGGGTGACGACGGGAGAGTGTTAAATCTTGACACAAAGCTTTTGCCAGTAGGTCAAAGTGATATATCGGTGGCATCCAAGACGTGGAATGTCTCAAATAGTTCGACATTAGGATTGGCCGTGTGCGAGTTATGTTGGGTGGCTTACACGTGTATAAGTACTACATGAACAGATGGAGCAAAACCAATCTGCCTCAACTTGTAGGCCAGACTGCTATCAACAAAACCAGAATGAATATGTCCCGTTCCATAGTAATTAGTTTCTGCCTAAAATAGCAATTCATCTGCTGCAGCTAAGTAAGTCATGTTCTCTGGCCTGTAGTATAGTGTTACTCAAATCTCGACATGCACATTGCAACCTGCAGTCTTCATGCAACAAGGTGGCGATAAACATGCCTGTCTTTCGTTATTCCCTAATAAATTTTGACTTCGTTGGTTGGGAACATCTAGTTTAGCATCTGGCCAATTACCTTCTTTTATCACGCCATTATCTCTGCAGTCAGAGGTTAGGCCAATAAGGCCATATGCAAAGTGACACGACCGGGACGGACCGAGGGATTGAAGCGGACAATGTATCAGTCCCACTTATCTATCACGCAATTATCAGCTGCGGGGTACTGCTATTTTCCTCGCACAGGGTGGACTGACCAATGTTCCGAGACACAGAGAAAGTGTGCTTCTTGGACCTGCATCACCCTTCCACGTTGCCCAGATTAACAGTACTGAGCGCTTAGCTACTGCAGGCCTGACGAGCCAGATGAACGCACTGAATCAGCACAACTGAACTAGTGTTCTTTCAACTGATCACGCCTGGTATAAAACAAGCTCGTTATGCAGGTGTTTCAGCTACTGAAACCGGTTTTTAATCACAGACATCGTCAACCTTAACAGCTCCAGAAGATAAATAAGCACATTGCTAGCTAAACGAAAGCTATAGGTAATATAAAAATGGAAGAAATATTCTGCCCGATTCAAATATTTCTTATAAGTCAATCATCTCACTCAACCCCTTCGTGCTTCTTGATCTTTCCTTTTAACGTGCGTACCATTCACTGAGTGAATCAAACCAGTGCATGAAAAGGTTCCCTACTCCATACCTTATGTGTATATTTCCATTACCCATAGGACCATGTGCTCTTGGAATTATATCTGGAGTTGGCTTAAGATGTAGCATAACCTGAATTGAAGTGTCCGAGAAAGCGTGTCTGCAGCGTGACCACGGTGATATAGCGGATCACCCGCAGGCAGTGAACGTGCATCTCTGAGCAAACCCCAGCTACATAAACATACCCAAAGATAAGAGGAATCCCTAGATATAACCTTGGTGCTACAGTAACCCCTTCGCTAAGTACCTGTAAGCTTCACTACTGGTTCAGCGTGGTGATCTTTGCTTCTTTTGTTGCTACATTTAAAATTCCTCGGTTTCAGCCCTACATGAGATAGTGACATACACAAGACATTGTTCAAAACCAATTCGGCTGGTCCCCTCCACTGATCTGTCCTGTTTATGCCTCGGTATAGGCTCTTCCTAATAGCTTAGTTTTCCCTGTACTGTTATGCAAATGCAAAGTCTTGTTTGTTGAATATCTTTTATGTTATATGGATAATAGGAGGTCAGGTTCTTGTGTTGGCCTTTTAGTATTATAGAAAAGACATTCACGGGTGCGTCGGACACTTCAGAATACTAAATGCATTGTTTTAGCAGTTACATCCAGCTACTAGCGTTATAAATATAGATCAGATACTATGTTAATTTAATCTCCAAATAACCGGAGGAAGAAAAGAAGACTAAATAGCTTTATCCTGCATAGATAATACATTAATAACCCTGCGATAATCTTACACCATACTCTGATAGTGCAATGGGGAGCCCTGGCGTTGTGCTGCGATTCTAAGATAGTAAGCCAGACCTAACATTGAGTCATACCTTGCAAAATCCAGTATTCAGGATTCAAGCAGTAAAACTGGATGGTAACTGCCATTCAGACCCACGACATGCGCATATGATATAGATCGATCTGGAAGGAGCTTCAGATATGATAAAGACAGCGTCGGGGATAATGTGTAGGAACCAGATGCAGCTGAGTGCGTTGTCTAGCGATGTAGTTATTGTCCCATACAGACGTCTACTGAGATACACGTTTGCTTTAAGTGAATCAATGCTTCAGATCCAGACTATTGGATACACTGAATGCCAAGAAGTGAGCCAGCTTCTCACTAAGACAGGAGATAGTCCATGTGCCACGGAGATGAATGTCTTCGGTGGTAACCGAAGTAGGGCTGTGATATGAAACGACCGACACAAGGAGAGCGTTGATAGAACTTTCTCCATTATGGGGAAGTACACAATACCATGGGACTAGGTAAGACATCTACCATTTCTCTCTGTATTTCGTTCCCTGGACTCAGCTAGTTCATGAGCCTAGTTACACACAAGCCTTGGGATCTGATGGTCAGAAAGAGATAAACGACGGTACCTTTACCATATTCTTAGTGAAAGACTTGTATGTCCCATGTATATTCAATATTCAATGAAGCAAACGGCACATTTTTACAATCACCGTATAGCAAGCGCTTGTGGTAATCTCGCAATTGACAAAAGCGACATCGCAGCTACGGGGTAAGACTGGTCGGTTCTAACAATCTTACCCGCCCTGAGGTACTCCGTACGTTCATGTCTTTTGCTTAGGTTGATCTTCCTGGAATTTTCGGTCTAGCACGATCTTCACATCCAGATTTCTCGGCTACCAATTGACGTATCGAGGCCCATGTACCCTTGCCTGTCAATCGAAATGCGGTGGTCGAATAAATACAGAACCTTGCCTCCCTACTTCTTCTTTATTGCTACTCGGGACGCCCTTCCACTTTCCATGAAAGTGCGTTAGTCGCAGACATCTATTATCATAAACATCCCATGTCGTCTCTGCATCTCTTCACAGAGCCCAAACTCATAGGTTTTTCGACAAGGTGCGAGTCTCAACTACACTAGCTACCAGCCAGCACAGGTAATGCCCAAAATTCGTTGGATGTATTTGGTTGTGTCTACGTGTCTCGCAATCCATAGTAAGCTAGGAGATGTGATACGTAATATCCTGCAGGTACAGTGGCTGTCTGATCGGTGACGGTGGCGGAACACAGGTATCTTTTGTAGGGTAAATCGGGACTCAGCCACTTAGCAACTAAGAGAGGCGGGTTAATTTCTACCCACCCCATTGAAATCTTCCATTTCTTTGGTTTAGGGTCAAGTTCCTGTTCTCGTAAGTCTCTTGACGACCGTTTCTTGGATGTCTTTATCTTTGATACTATTGAATTCTATTCAGGCATGATCATCCTGCAGAGTCGGGGAAAGGTTGCAAAAAGAAACAATAACGGTGAGACTATCTGGCGGCATAAACCTTATTGCCTGCCGCATCACTAACTGCAATTTGGAATTGCAGTTAGATTGCAGTGAACCCCTTCTACAAAGTAGATGATAGGCTTATTACCCCGTATCTGATACAGTTGCAGCAAAATATGAGGCAGGTGCAGCACGCAAGGGCCTGAGGAGGCTGAAACTGGTGTCCACCAGGACGGTTGCCTCCGTGAGTGCATGATCAAGGCAGTGTGTAGTGACATGATTACAATCTGTTCAGTCTTTCATGCTCTAATATCTAGTTTCTGTTTCAGAAAATCATTGTATATGCACTCCTGATGCCGCCGTGCCACACGGATTTCAATCTATCCAGTCTGCTTACCATCGTTTGGTAGAATAGCCAGTACCTCTTGTCTATATTTTTTCATCCAGGAGTACGGTCTCTGCCATATTTGTATCAAAGAATGATCGAACATAGATTATCTTCCTTGCATCATTGAACCTGCAGTGCCAGCGATAATGCTGGCTATACAAGCGACCCCCCAGTTTCGTTCTGCTGTCCTTACATTCAACTCAATGGTAACCCATCCATTCTCGTTACTCATGATACTAGAAGGGGACGCTATCTCAATAGCTGGACCCGGGTGTGCTATCAGCCTGACAACAGGAAGCCACACGTTGTCCAGGAATTCGGACTTCGATCTCCATACTCCTGAAAAAGCATTCTGTCCTGTGATTTCCCACTGCACATCGTCATCGACGTGATTGAAAAATAATTCGTAGCCTCGTGGGACTTTGCTTGATTATCCGAAAATGGATAGAATCTCGGCTATGGTGAGAAATGGCATCATGGGCCGTCTTTCGGGTAAGTGTATACCGGGTCACTGGGTATCACTCAATGGCATCCTTTGTGACAGAGGCTGAAGTAAGACATCAATAAGAAACGGCGGGTCTTATGATAGCTTATCAAGCGTAAGCATGTATTCTGCAACAGTTGAATCCAGCCACATTCCAGGTAAAAGTAAATTTCGCGGTTCGGTCTTCCGCGATGCAAGTGTCCTGAGTGTTGTGCCAGGAAAGAACAACTGCGCTCTGGTCATATCTAAAGATTTCCATGTATAATCTCCTAACTTTCTCCAGGATTCAATCAGTCTATTTGGACATGATAATGATTCATATTGTGGAGATGATCGACTATACCAAAGCTACCATTATACTTGATGACGAGATGAATGAAGTGTAGTGGAATACGGGTCTGATAGGGTATGCCAGAACTGGATGCTTGCATCTATGGAGAGAACTCAATAACTTGTTGGTTGAAGATCGCGAAAACTTAAAATGGAAGTGGCGATCCCATAACTAGTACATAGAGCTGAGTGACGGTGCGGGGAATCACAACCTTATAGGGCAAAAGCTGAGTGCGAGTCTCCACACAGGTCCGCATGAGATGTTCAAGACGTAAGAAAAAGCTTTCTTAGGCAATATTACATTCGAAAGCATTATACTCTCGGCCATGTCAATGGGAAAAAGCGCATCGGCAAGATGCAATTCACCTTGATTGTCTACTTCCCGAGAAACGATCAAATCAGCATTCTCATCCATATCCTTGACCCATATATGGTGGCGTGCATGCATTAACTTCCACACGAAGGAATGCATCAAAACCTTGAATAGGCTACATGCCAACCAACAGGTCATGAGATTCCTATCATGAGACATTCCACACTGGTTACACAAACTGTAAAAGTGAGCGATCGCTCAGAGAATATTAAGTGTCGTGATTCCAGCCCAACGTTCGGGAAATAGATTTCGTCATAGCATGGATCTGCACTTCCCAAAGCTTCCGAATGGCAACACACAAGGCATTACCAGAAGAGACCAGAAGAGAATCGGGCTTTATGATTGATCTGGAGAAATTTGGCGTAGCTTAGTGGAACCTCTGCAAAGCCATCTAGAATCGAAGCGTATACAGGCTATCCCAATGACTTCACCACTTCCTACATTGTCTGAACCAACACTCCATTGCCTCCACAGCCGTATATGGCAACGCATGATGTCAAAATCAAACGGGTTTTGTCAGTTTGATACCAACGATAGGGCGATCTAATATTATGCCTTGAAACAAGTCGTAGAACCCAGAGCCAGTATGCTTATAAGCAAGTAGGAGCTCCACGGTCACACGGAATCGGGAATGCTGTCGTTGCTTTGTGTCTTCAGACGATGCCGATCCCTAACCGTACAGTAACCTTTCTGTCAGATAACAACATTCCATAATCACTCACTTATCCCTTTAATATGGAGACGCTTTCGGAGAGGCTTCCTGTGTACCTCCACTGGGCACCGCTGTTAGTCCTCGGTCTAATTTTTATCAACTACATCATAGGAGTAATCAAAGCCATCAAGTCTCCTCTCTCACGGATCCCGGGGCCATGGTATGCACCTCTCACAACACTACATCTCAACTATGCATTCGCAAGAGAAACGATCTGGAAGTCCGTCGAGAAGTCCCACGCACAATACGGCCCTATCTTCCGCCTGGGACCGCGACAGGTGTGGAGTTCAGATAAAGAGGCCATCAAGACTATTCTTATGACAGTTGACCTACCGAAAGTCACCATGTATGCAGAAATATCGAGAGATCGGACTAGCCCTAGATTGTTTGGGGAGATGTAAGTGCCCTGCTACTTTCCTTTTCTTCGAGGTGGATGGCAATACGGATGAGACGGTTTGATCGAAGTCTCGTACTGATCTACCATGAATTCGACCAGATCCCCATAAGCGACTTAAGAAGTTCCTGTCTCCAGCATTCACGATTGCGTATGTTGATGGTCACGAGTTTCTGTTCGCAAAATGTGTGGGTGACCTGATCAATCGATATGTGGATCTGCTGTCATGCCCCTCGCCAAAGGGCGAGAAAGCGCCGGTAGTCACGGACCTGATGGAAGATTTGCATAGTCTTGCCCTTGACATGTAAGTATTATGATGCAAAAGACCAACTCCGTAGAACACTTTGTAGTAACATTACGCAACCCCAGAATGGGAGAATGCTCCTTTGGCAACTGATTCGGCCAGACGAACAAAAACAGGAAACTGAAACTTGAATTTGATGAGAACACATGGCGAACAATCCCAACAGCCATCTTCAAAGGGATGACTCGGCGATACCAGGTAGTCAATGAATTTTTTGAGTTAAAGAGAGGAGTGAGCGACCTGCTAACGCAGAATCAGTTTGTTTACATCAAGCGCCTTCTGAGGAGACTCGGCCTAAACATCGAATTTGACTGGCCACGAGAGATGATTGCTGTATCTACATCCCTTGAAGTACCCACAATCATGATCATTTAACTGATAATAGCATAGGCCATATCCGCAGTCGCGGGTCATCGAAAAGCAACTCCCAAAAGTGTCCGTCCCGACCTTCTGCAACACCTTCTCGAGAACGGCGAAAGACCAGACAGCGGAGTCAAAATGGGAACGAGGGAGGTTGTCGATCAGATGGCCGAGATTCTATTAGCCGGGTCCGAAACCACGTCTGGAACAATCGCCTGCTTTTTCCTGGAGATACTACGGAACCCAGAAACAAAAGATAAGTTGATGAAGAGCCTACCGATCCTTCACCCAAGTGATCCGATTATCCCCAGCAAGACAGTCCGAACGTCTCCTGAATATGAGTACCTCGAAGCATGCATCAAAGAGGTTCTGCATCTACATCAAATAGCATCTGAGATGGGTCGTCGGACTGGAAAGACGCCGATTGAGCTGATGTGATACTACCTCCCCGCTCATACGATTGTGTCTGCATCTTATCGCCAGCTTCACCGAGATCCGAAATACTGGAATGAGCCCCTGCGCTTCTGGCCTGAACGATGGCTAGATCCTCGGCCTTCTGGTGTACCTGCACCTGAGTAAGTCCATATTATTATCACCGGGTGATGCCAAGTGCTGATTTTCTTTACTCAGCATGCAAGCTTACTATCCATTTTCCGCTGGAAAGCACTCATGCATTGGCAAGAAGTACGTCTCGAATCCATCCTTCTTCTCTATCTTGGACACCTTTTCTGGAATTCCGTTTCTTCGTCTTTCCCTTCAAGGTAAACGGTACCTAATCTGTTTGTAACAATTCAGCTTCGCCATGGCAGAAATCAGAATTTTAATCGCCAATATCTTTTCACGATTTGATCTGGCCGAGGTACCCGGACAGAATATCGACTACAGACAATATATCACAATGCAGTTTGAGAAAGGATCGTGGAAGGCTTTCTTGACGCCAAGATACCAACAGTCTCATCCAGTGTCGGCCACTACAGCTTGATTGAATATCGCCTTATAGATGCAGTGCAGACTAAAAAGCTATTTATAATGGTTGTATCGGAGAGACAGGAGATTTTGAAGAATCGGTGTGCTGAGACCAGTTGGCACATATTGCAATATATATGCCCCTTTAATTTTTAATAAATTCTTGTTTCATGCTATATCTAACATGCTGTCTTGGTTCCCCTCAGAATAGATAGGAATAACACCAGACCTCTCCGCCATGTTAATGTGTCAACAAATCTATAAGCCCGGACAATGAAGGAGGTCCTAAAAAGTGTGTCCACGGTATCGAAATCAGCAGACTGGAACATCTTGATCATCACAGGTATCGGACCCGCTTGCATGTAAATGCCTGCCACGACCACACAAGTACGCCACTAACTCTGGCATCTATATCATGAATTATATGTAGACAGGTTGAGAATGAAATATTACAGGTATTGATTGATCGATTCGGTGATTCCGTTTTCAGTCTGACTGGGTGTCTGAAGGTGTGGTCAGACAGCTATACAAACTCTGAATAGCTAGGTATATATAGTACTTCCTTATTTTGTACTATGGAATATCGTTATTCAATCCCCAGTAGTGTGGGATGTGCATAGACTCGAAAACCTTACAGACATTTTCATTTGCATTTGGTAGGGAGACTGTACTGGATAGAGATCTGTATCAAGATTATATTGTGTAATTTTCATAAGACGTCTTCTCTCACACTGGATATATATTCAGCCATTCCTCTTCTAATATGTTTTACTAATTATAGTAGCCACAGGACTTGAATGACTGTTATGATATCCAATGAATCTGATCAGGGTACTCTACCATTGGACTTTTCTGTAGTGCTAGTCAGGATAGTCACTACTACACCATCCCGGCTGCATTACAAGCATAAAGGGAGGGATAGGAGTAGAGAAAAAAAGGTTACGAAGAAAAAGCCATAGATTCAAAAATTCAAGATTTTATTAATAGATGGTTCAACATGGAACCAAAACTAGACGAGATGATAATTAAATCCATAATGTAGATGGATAAATAGTCGGTGCCATGGCCACGCGCTTAAAGAAGCGATCCCAGAGCAATGCAGGGGAGACCGAGACCGATGAGGTCACCCTCCTGCAATACATCAGTATGAGGGGTCAAGAAGGGGTCAGGTGGTTGATTGCTTACAGTGTCGCTGTCACTGCCCTGGCAGCAGGCGGCAGTCTGCTCGCACTGGTCGTTGAGCAAGTTTTGCAGGCCGACAAGGTCAAGGGCTATAGATGTCAGAGCCAATTCTTATCACGTAGCGAGATACATACCCTGGAGGTCAAGCGGGGAGCAGTCGTCGGCCAGGCCAATACCCTGGGAGCCGGAGCCAGAGCCAACGAGGCCGCTCAGGAGGCCAGACAGAATACCGCTGTCGATATCGGTGGAGTCACCTGCATAAGTGGCCTTGTTGCAGCAGGAGAGCTGGTTGCCGCTACCGCAGGAGTCGGCTCCCTGAGAGACAGTCATGCCAGCAGGGGCAGGGATGTGGTTGACAGCGCGGCCGCGGACGGAAGGCTGAGCCACAACCACAGTGGCAAGAGCGAGAGCAGCAGCAGCAGTGAACTTCATTGTGACGGTGGAGTGGTGACTCGAAAGAGTGCTGGAAGATGATTTGAATCGGAAGATAGAAGTAGCTTGGTGATTGAGCGAATGGCTGATGATGATGAGGATGAGAAGAACGAGGGTTGAACAGGGCTATTTATGCCTTTGTCTTGCCAGATCGTACCTGACCCCGTCTGAGGTCGAACATGGCTAGTTTCGCTAGATGTCGTCGCATTCGTGGCAGGCTTACTGTTTGCGTGAATTGTAGAGTTGCACCCAGAAGGGCGAATCAGGCACGAGAGAGGCCCTTCGTAAGATTCTGAACGCTGGCGTTGCATTTCCGACCCTCCAGCTGGGTCCTCGATGGAGCCTATCTCACGATCTAGTGTGGAGGGCATACAGAGGTTACACAAGCCGTGTGGTAAGCCGTGCGGTGACAGCCATCCCTTGCTTGGCGCTCCCGGCAGGCTTTTTAGCCAGCGTCGCATCCCGCATTCTTAGCCGTCGTCTGGGAGGCTTAGCCGGGAACGCCTTTCCCGGTTCCTGGTGCTTGTGGAGGGTCAGTTCATCCGTCTTCGGTGCCGACCGGCTTCGTTGCTCATTTGCTTCCTCGGGCTCACCGGTTAAACACCGATCGACAAAGGTGACAGCTACATTAGTTGTTTTCAGATGTCTGGGAACGTAATGTGTCCCCCGGAAGGTCTGAATTTCGGCATGACTGCAGCATTCTGCCAGGCGGTACGTAGATTTTGGCGTGATCATTGTGTCCACTTCGCCAATGTAGAGTAGGGCAGGGGTGCGAATCCTCGGTTCATACAGATCTCTATACATGGGATGGCCGAGCATAAAACCACTGTATGCGACGACAAATTTGAGCGGTGGATGAGTGGTCTGCCAATGTAAGCCAGAGAATTGGCCAAGTTACACAAATATACCCACACTGACGCCAAAAACAAGGCCGCGATCTTGCTCCTCCAGTAAGGATGCGATGATCATCGCCAGGGTAGCACCGGTCGAAAATCCAAGTATACCAGCAACCGGATTAAGGTGCTCCAGCTGCTTTAGCACACGCTTCACACTCTGTTCCAGGCCCGAGATCCGCTGGCAGTCAAAAATCCCATACCCCCAAACCTTGGACTCCATATCTGGGCCGTTCACGTCGAAAGGTGCTTCACTGTAATGGAGCTTGAAATGTGGTAGTGATCGGTTGCTCTGAGACCCACCTGCATTGAGGGCCTCTTGGAGGAAGTGCGTTTTGCGATGGAACATATCAATCGATTGACCATGGCCTACAGACGGGTCAGTGCTGGTACATGGCCTGGATTACTTGGTTCTGACCATGAAGCATTAGAATGTTGGCCTGTTCACCAGTATTTGAGATATCTCTGCTATCTGCATAGTTACGTAAGTAGCCTAACGGCGACAGCTAAATTCCTGTCATTTCCAAGATGATGAGGTATCGACTTTCTCGAGCAAGTGTCTACAAAGCCTAGATCACACTGCCATTAGTAGAAGGAAATGTGCAAAATTGCGTAGGAACTACGTCGAGGTGACGGAGAGCGGTTAAGTTGACCGAAAATTGTTCATCATTGCACCTCATTGGCACAAGGATTGGACATCCTAATTGTTGGTGCATTCCATATGTTTCAGTTGAATGCGGATTGAGATACGGCGGCGTACAAGTAACTGTTATTCGCCTATTGAAGCCTAGTGTTAGGGTCCTAAGGCATTTCTGCGCCAGCTATCCACAGCATGGCACATGCAATTCGACTTTAACAGGTGCCATAGCTGGATAGAAACTATAGTCTTGAAGGAGCAAGCCTCGTCAATCAAATCCCCAGACACTTCGTAGATGCCCGAAAAATAAGGCTCAAAGGGTCCAAGCAGTGGCACGGCACGCAACCGGTACGTTCTGGAATGCAGCTGTGCATCTGAGCAGACAGTCGATTCTAGGAGTCATGTGATAAGCCACAGCATGACTCCCTTCTTATCAGAAGACAAGTGCCGATAGGGATGCCGAAGAGGCGAGAGTAGACGCTTTGGAGAAGTAGAAGTGAGGAGAAGAAAGGAAGGAGATGGAAGCTAGAAAGGGATCTGTTACTGCCTCAGGCACTAAGGCGGTGAAGGGCGGTCGGGACCCTTCATTGGGAATCCCCGCAACTTTGCCAGCTCAACGACGTCAGCCTCTCCCAGTCTCATCCTCGCCATCATGAAGCTCGTTTATCTAGGAGTAAGGAAATGGCGGAAGCTCCCTGTTCATCGTTCTTACTGTCTGACCCCGATCATCTTGACAGATTCTCCAAAATGCTCAAGCTCCCGCCGTGGAGCTCTGCGCCGAGCGCGACCTCAGCAGCTACTCGCGCTTCACCAAAGGCAGCGTCAGCGAGTTCATGACGATGTTCAGTAAGACCGTCGCCGAACGGACGAAGCAAGGACAGAGACAGGACATTCAAGAGCAAGGCAAGTCGGCGTCCCTCGATGTCATCTTTCCATCGCCTCTGCGGCAGCCCCTGACCGCCGGTCGCCTACAGATTTCACATTCCACGTCTACGCGCGAACCCAAGGCATCGCCGGAGTGATCATTAGCGACAATGAGTATCCATCCCTGGCTGCTCACCAGATCCTCTCGAAGATGCTCGACGAGTTCCTCTCCCTGAACCCGAACGCCGCCTCCTCCCGTGACCCCGTGCCCTTCCCCTCCCTCAAGACCTACATCCAGGCGTACCAGGACCCACACCAGGTGGATAGCATCCTCAAGATTCAGAAGGAGCTGGACGAGACCAAGATCGTTCTTCACAAGACCATCGAGAGCGTATGTGCTACGCGGGAACATATGGGTAGAATGATGCTAACCTCGACCAGGTCCTCGAGCGCGGTGAGAAGATCGACGATCTTGTGTCCAAGTCGGAGGGACTTAGTGCCCAGTCGAAGATGTTCTACACCTCCGCGAAGAAGCAGAATTCGTGCTGTGTGATCATGTGAGCAGCGCGTGGAAACCAACGCCGGTAACACCCACGTCGAGAATCATCCTCGACACGACCCTCAAGAGAGAGGAATTAGTGTGGACCTGGAGACCATTTTTCTGTGAATTATTTGGAAGCGTTCTGTTGCTACAGGCATTCGTACATGGTTTCTTTGACCGGGCTGGATTTGCAGGCACATGCGGGACAGGTTTGATTTACGGTAGACGAACAAATAAGCCCGAGAGCAATAAAGTGGCTTTATGACTAGAGAGGGCATGTCCGGGCATCAACTTTGAGGTGTAGAGGGGGAAGAAAGTAGACCCGAAACCACCAAGTATCCAGCTATGCAGTCACTGGATAGTGAGTGCGATGTACTGTGGCCTCGTTCCAGCAGTGGATCCGTAGAGGGGCACATCTGCGATGCTTATCTATGCTCGGGATCCGGCACGGTGATTGGCCCAACCAGGCAGTGCGATGCCTAAGTATAAATATTAGACTTATTTATTGCAAATCATGGGGAGATATTAGCTCATCCTCGGGCCTTAGTCTGCCAGTGCATCGACTTGAGCACTGTAGAGTCCCTGGACTGGCTGCGGCACCACGCGACCACCCCTAAGCACCCAATCGGCACTAACCCAGGTACAAGGACTTGCCAGCTGGATGAGTGTCTCTGTCGGATTGTTTCACCTCTTCTCTAACATGCTGTCGAGAACAGTCTACGTGTGCCAGGTACCATTCAGTGAACCCTGCAAATCGGCCGATCATGCGGAGGGCGGCCACTCGGTCAGGTACGTTTAGGGCTTCCCAAGGCCGCACCCCCTCCACTCCAAGCAGCAGCACAACGAACAGCATCATTGGCGGTGGATCGCCAACTCACCTGTCCTGGCAATGCCTTCTAGAACACGCTCCACCTCAACCCAAAAAAGCCTCAGTTTCCATTAGGTACAGGAAGTGCCGGCTTGGGTAAGGCGGTGCCTATCGCCAAATCACCGAGGGTACCCGGGTCCCGGCCCGGTTGATGCCATTGGCCCTTGCCGCCGAATATCGTCCCCCCTCGATTCGGCAGCCTGTTTTGTGTGGGAGATTAGTAGGAAGAGGTATTGATTCACGGTGTGTTGGGCAACCTGGTGATGCGGGCGGTCATGACTCTACTATCTCGTTTCTTATAAGCCTTGAACCCGGGGTTGTCCACTCCTTTTGTCGGTCCCTCATTATCCTCTCTACTCTTTCACTCCTTTTTACCCCGGTTCAGCGTTGCTTTCAGCGGTACATCCCATCTATCTAGGTCAGTGGCTCCCCGCCATTCCCCCCATCTATACTCGCTTTGTATACTAACCATTCCTCAGTATACCAACTCTTTTTACGTCGTTCCCTTGCTTCGACTTTCCTTTGTGTCATCTGCATAGAAGTGCTCCGCGTCTAACACCGCCACTACATCTGATTCCCCAGTCAGAGCGAGGAGTGGCTCGCTGCTCGTCAGCATGGATTTCGACTTCCCTGTTCATCAGTCCCTGCCCTTTGCGGGGCATCGCAGCCGGTTGGGTGACTTCCTCACGGCGGATGTGATGGTTGCTGCAGGTTCGGCAGCCTTGGTCACTCCTGCTGTTATGATCTTAGACAGGTAGGAGCTTCCTCTCCTGTTCACCTACCTGGCAGTGGTACTGACCACCGTCTAGACTGGTCGTCGAGAAGTCATCGCACAACCAACCTATGCTCCCTGCCTTCCGCCGCCACCTCTGGCTCTCCATCACACAGCCTGCCACCTTCTTGACCTCTCGACCCAGTCTGCTCGTCTGGTCTCTCTATACAGCCACCTTTGCGGCCGCCAATGCCACAGAGACCATCCTGGACCAAGTCTACCCTCATGTCGACCACGCCATGGCAGGAGTGGCCACCTTCATGAGCACCTTTGTGGTCAACTCGTCTGTGGGCATCTGGAAGGACGTCAAGTTCGCCCAACTGTTCGGCCACAGCAACGCCACCCCTCCCACTCCTGCTCCCAAGACCACGACCTCTGCTGCTCCGTCCCAAAGCAAGATCCTCCGCTCCGTCAGCCGCACCATCCCCTTTGCCACCTACTCGGCCTTCCTGGTGCGCGATGCTCTCACCATCTTCGGCTCCTTCAGTCTCCCCGCCATGGTCTCGGCCTCCATCCCGGACTCTATTGCCTCCAGCGAATACCTGAAGATCCTGTTCGCGCAGCTCGCCATTCCGGCCTCCATTCAGCTGGTCAGCACTCCAATTCATCTACTCGGGCTTGATCTCTACAACCGGCCCATGCAACTTTCGGCCTCGGACCGATTAAGTCGGGTGAGCAGGGACTGGATCGGGGCGTCCCTGACGCGTATGTGTCGGATTATTCCCGCGTTCGGGATCGGCGGGTTCGCCAATACCGAAGGCCGGGCGTTCCTGCACCAACAATTGCGGCGATGTGAGGACTGATTTTCTGCAATGGCCAATCAGGATGTCAGAAGTTCATTATGATTGTGAATGACTCAAAGAAAATCGTTACACCGTTGCCTGCGATAACCGCACCGAGAAAATGGGGCCCATCCCCGCCAGGTGGTCGGCGGTCAAATAATGAGTTTCCCGATCGGGAAACCCATCCGCCCATCGGGAAAAGGGTGACTTTTCCGTACCCTAGCCCTAGCACTTACCCTTTCCAGCCACCGCCAATCACCGCCCTGCCGTACCCGGCCCGGTGTGGCATCCGGAACGCTGACTTGGCATCTCCCGACTCTCACCTTTTTGCTGCTGGCAGCAAACACACAAACCCGGTCACTAGTTATCTACTATCTATCGACCGGATCCCCGCTTCATAGCCTGATCTGACAGAAGACTATCTACTTGTTCGACTTTGACTAGTACGAACCTCTGCTCCAAATATCGGACTTTAGATGGGGCATTCGGCCAACTTTCCGAAACCGGATGAGGGGGGAGGGGGGTTATGACGCAGTGCTGTGTCGATCTAGGCGCGCTGACCATCCCACTTGGGGTGGATTATGGATACGCTCTGTGTTTCACCGCCGGACTGGATGCTTCGGTGTTTCTTCTTATCGTTGATGTATGTGCATGTGAATATTCATCATGACTCTCGGTGTATATAGGCTTCAATGCTAGAGAGAGCATTACACTATCCCTTTTACACTATCCCTTTTGATCTGAGTAAGATTGCGAGTAGAGTGATGTCGATTCAAGCAGACACTCTTTCCAACAACCAACAGAAACCCGATCTAGGCAGTTAGTTGGTATGTAGTACTTGGTAAAACAAGAATGCTAAAACGTCACCCCAGTCCTTCTATTCTTATACCTCCCAGACACAAATACTAGATAGATAGCGAATACCTCGGCCCTCGTCAAATATGCCCCGACTTGGCACTATGTCTACTAATTCGATTTCGGACATGGGGTGAGTGTTCGTTTGTGGCTGAGCATAACACAATGACACAATGGCATTATTAGTAGCATACCGGTGTGAGTTAGTTATGCAGGGCACAGCACTACATCTAGTTACGTAAGCAGTGAAGAATAACTAATCCACTTGCATAACTCCTATGGACTTAATGATTATGAGTTAAGTTGATGCACGGCCACGTCGGCGGTTAACATATGACCCTGTTAAGATATTGAGTTTAATGCTCTGTAAAACTGTAAGGAGTTACATTTGCTTCTTGTGAATAAGGTTTTGGTCTTCTTGTTTGTTTGTTGGGGGATTACAGGTAAGTGGGGTGATGTGGCCACTGTGCTTTGCATTATGGGTGAGACAAAAATTGAGGTGGTAAGATATTAGTAGACTTTGTTGTCTTTGTCGGAGGATAAGTAGGGTACATTCGCGAGATGTTAGTCTTTGGTTCATTAAGTTCCTGGGATCGGATTGTTTATTTATCATTAAAAGACTACCCTTGATGGATAATAACATATTCTATTGATGGGAGATACACGGACTTGTGGTCAGCTTCTCTTTGTTGGTTGGTTGAGCTGGTCGGGGTCGACGCTACGGACCGAGCCAGTACTTGATTTGGACTTGGGGACGGTGTCCAGACTCAATGTGCATGTGTCAGTCTTCAATATAGGCGCAATATCCAGGCTTATCGGAGAGAAGGCTTTAGGCTTAGGATGTTGACTAGTTAGTCGAATCAGGTAAAACCTAGTCATGTCCGTGTTGGAAATGGATGTACCCCATCTCGTTGTGTCAATGTGTCGGGTTGATAGCAGTAGAAGACTAGACAAGGTAAGTAAGCGTGAAATTTGAGCATTTGGATCGGTAGGTGTCAGCTGGCTGAAGAGTCAGTCCATTGGCTCACTTCGAGTGCGCGGACCACCCTGGTTTTGACGGTGCTGAAGACCTGCATGTATCCCACACCAACCATGCAGCCAGTTTATAGTCCTCGACAGCAATTTTGAGGCTTTGCGCCCTCTCCTTTTGGATGTATCTGGCAGCAGCATGCATGTGATGCTCTCATGATTTGTTGGTGAAGTGCTGGCCAACAGTTGTATACTTACTATCAGTGATCAGATTATACTGTCATCGAGTGCCCATGCTAGGACGATGCGTAAATGGCTGCAAGACGCCAAGTAGTGAGGGGTCATCCACTTGCAGGGATATGCACGAGTAATGCAAGCTGAGCCGTCTGCTCCCTCACCATGGCGTCGTACTAGTGCACCGACCGAGGCGTCGACTACTCTCACCCCGCTTGATTAATATAAAGCAGACGGGCCAGGGTGGATTGATGCCTGCCTATATACCCCAGTCGCAACTTCAGTTCTTGCAAGCCAGATCAACCTGACCATGGTGTCCACGACGCTGACTGCCGCTCTGGCGGGCGTGTTTTCGCATCTTACGTAATTCCGGCGAGGCGAGCATCAACTCTACGGCACCACCTATACGCAGGTTTTCAGTGTCCTGTACGCCGCTGCGGTCGCTTACCTGCATGTCGCATGGGGAACCGCATGGCGAGAGGCCCTGGTCACCGTCTCCCTGCATGCAGCATCCTACCTGCTTGGAATCTTCAGCAGTCTACTGCTCTATCGTCTGGTGTTTCACCCACTGGGATCGTTCCCAGGTCCATGGCTCGCCCGCTTTTCGGATCTGTGGCTCGTTTCCCAGATGAAGAACAACAATAAACATGTCAAGCTGATTGAACTGCACGAGAAGTACGGTCCCTACGTCCGCATTGGACCCTCGACTCTATCCGTCATTGATCCCAAGGCTGTCAACATCATTCATGGCCCAGCTTCGCGCTGCTTGAAGAGCGGCTGGTATGACCACTCATACCCCAGCAAGTCATTGCAGACAAGTCGAGACCCGGTCGAGCACCAGCAGCGCCGGAGATTATGGAGTACCGCGTTCGGCAGCAAGCAGCTGCGCGGATATGAGCATCGCGTGCGCAAGTACCGTGAGCAGCTCGTAGATCAGTTGATGAAAAGGGAGGGTCAGCCAGTGAATGTGACCAAGTGGTTCGACCTATACACCTATGACGTGATGGGAGACCTGGCATTCGGGGAGGGCTTGGTTGTCTCGAGCAAGGCGAGTATCATTGGGCCACACAAATCATGATGGAGACAATGGACTTTGTTGGCAGCTCCCTACCCATGTGGCTCTTCCGTATGGTCTTGGAGGTTCCTGGACTGAAGAGGGCATGGTATAAGTTCCTGGATTACTGTGAGATGAGGTTAGTGGAGAGAATGAGGGTGAGCTGTCATCGCACTTGCGTCGCTAGCACCGAGCTGACCAAACAGACTGAGCCTGATGTTCCCGACGTCAGCGCAGCGCTTCTAGCACCCTTCAAAGGCAAAGAGCCCGGGAAGGAGGACCAACAGTGGCTAGGAGGAGATTCACGGCTGATTATTGTTGCTGGAAGGTGAGTGCTCCCGTGGAAGTAATTTCAGATGCCTGTCTCACGCGGATAGTGACACCACTGCCTCGACTCTTGTTGCTTTGTTCTATGAGCTCGCCCACCGTCCCGACGAGGTCGAGAAGCTTCGTGCCGAATTGGCTCCATTTGTAAATAAGGATGGCGGCATTGGAGACTTTTACGACAGCGACATTGGTCACTTGGGACACCTCAACGGGGCCATCAACGAAGCATTGCGTCTATATCCGGCAGTTCCGTCGGGAGTACCACGGATAATGCCTCCTGATGGCATTACTGTGAACGGAGTGCCCATTCCAGGCAATACCATAGTCATCAATCCAACCATTGCGATGGGACGGTGTAAGTCAAGCCCGGTGGGCGGAGCGACGAAAAATCCAGTGGACTAACGACGGACCAGCGGAATTGAGCTATAAAAAGCCGCTAGAGTTTATCCCCGAGCGGCGGTACCAGCAGGCCGAGCTGATCAACGATCAGTCGGCTTTTGTCCCATTCAATATTGGTATGTGTCCTGCCTGGAGTAGAGGAAACCAGATTAGGATCGTTGACTGACGGTGAATGATTGTGTTTAGGTACTTACAACTGCATTGGCAAGCCATTGGCACTTCAGAATCTGCGGGCAACGGTGGCACATCTGGTCACGACTTTTGATGTGAAGTTCGCGCCAGGAAATGCGGAGAAAGATTTGATCAGACGGTCGAAGGATTGTTTTGTCATGTATCACGGTGAACTGGACTTGATTTTCACCCGGCGAAAGTAAATAGTCGGGGACGGTGGTGAGCGACCGCCGTTGATGAGAGTGTCGATCGCACGGGGGAGGAATTATTACGTCGGTGGTGTTGGGCAGAAGGATCAAGGGTGTTTCAGCTCCACCCGTGTTTCAGAATGCGATGGCAATACGGCAGAAACGAGGCAGTCAGCAAGAAGCCCCAAGTACGTAATTAGTTGAAGTCAAGAACAACATTAGCTAGTTATCTTTGGATGATCGAGTCAGCCAGGTGGTCGATCTTGCTGCCTGGCAGTGCTGTCACTCGACTCAGTACTTTCAGCAGACAGTGGGCACTCCGACTTGCGCATGATGCACCTCCAATGAGGCAAGGGCGATAGTTGCCAGGCACCGATCCGCTCGATCAAGCTTTCGGGAACGGCGGAACCGCGTTGGCCAGTAGACCCGTCGAGACCAGGTGAGGAGCCCACCTGGTAGGCAGAACAATGACTGGTAGCGAAGACTGGGCACAATCATGAGGATGAAAAGATATATCCGGCAAACCAAACAGTGTGTAGTATGGTGTAGAAAAGTGGAAAGTGAAAAAGTATGCTGGCTGGTCGCGAGAAGTGAGAAGCGAAAAGAGAGAAGAGAGAGTCACGACGCGGGTCCAGCTTTCATTCTTTCCCTCTCTCGTGATCGGCGTATTCGACGTATCTGTCGAACAATGCGAATCTTACCGACCACATCCTGGCACTCACCATCCAATTCCTTAGTCATTGGTGGTTTTTGGTGGTTTTTGCTCTTTCATCATCAGACCCACTCTTGTCCCATCATCTGCCAATCATATACTCTCCAGTCACACCCACAGCCAATGGGGCTACTCTGCCAGGCTTTTGGGAAAGATGCCCGCGTAATTCCAGCAAGTACCGTACCTTTTTAGTTACCATACAGGCATACAACAATACTGGCACTGGCAGTGGCCGCGTGGGCAACCAGCAAACCAACCCAGTCAGCAGCAGCAACAATCATCCAACCAGCTCAACCAAGTGACCCATTTATAAATAAACAGTGGAGCCAAAAACCGGCTTGAATTTTTCATCGCTGCGGGCTTATCAGCATTCTTATTCCGAACTCCTCCATCCCAGCGTGTCTCATCCATCCCTCCTGTTTCTCTTCTTCTTCCTCCTCTTCTTCTCTTTTCCTCTTCTCTTCTGCCGACCGTAGTATATTTACACTCTTACCTCCTTCCTCTCTTCCCCGTCCGATTCCCCGCCCCAAACAAAGTGATGCGTTAACTCGGATCCGCTTATCCGCTTTACACACCACATTATACACTTACACTCTGATCAACTCCATCCACCAAATACATCCACATCCGCAGCTAGCATCCAGCACAGACCACGGCAATTTGCGATCGCTGAACGCCACCATCTATTATATTTATCAACAAACATTCGAAATCACATCGATATCTGTCTAGAGTCTGTGTATATACCACGCAAGTCGCTTCATAATGACCAAGCTCAGTGATTCGGCCATCATCGTCATTGTTATCGTCGTGTGTCTCGCCCTCGTCTCACTGGGGGCCGCACTCACGAAACAATTCTGGCCCGAGGCCCCCCAACAACGCTACAACTATCCCGCCGAGCAACAGTCCTACATGCGAACGGTCCGTTTGAAGAACCTGGGTATCTTTCAACGTGAGTCGAATAGTATGCCCGGGAAGATGCCCGCCGCGGCAGCGAGGGATGTAGAGTCAGGCTGTACGTTTACACGTCAAGTTAACCCTTGCAATCGGAAGATTCGATTATCTTAGATGTGGAACTAACGAATCACTCGTTGTACAGACTCCGAAAATGAATCGTCGCATTACTAGTCGCATCCCTACCTTTCCTTTTTCCTCCGACGTTTTCTATTGATATCCTCACACTCCTTATCGCGCCCATCCTCGACTCGTTGCCTACTCCCTATCTCTCCCTAAAAGCGAATTCCCCCAGCAAGCAAGCATCGCGATAACCCACTGCATGTACGATTGACGATTACGCATTACCACCTTGATTTTGACTTATTGATTGATGGACGGGACCTGACCTGACTGTTGTGTCTTTGCGCCATGGTGCGGTGTTGAATGGCGTTGTATTATATCCTGGTTTTTTGGTATATAGGATGCTTTTCAGTTGTTTGTTCGATTTGTGATTATTTATCTACCTTCTTGTTCATTCCTTGAGCTGATTGTTTCGGGTGGTGGATTGGATACATACCGCTTACATATATACACCTATATGGTCAACAACATGGCTTTCAACATACTTCCATTTTGAAGCTTTACACTACTCATCAATTACATACATAACACCTATCCACCCCGACTACTCCACATCCTCTTCAATCTCCTCTCCATCTCCACCCCAGGCCAATAATTACACTCCCTCCTCATCTCCTTCACAAACCCACTCAACCTTTCCCTCTCCCCCTCATCATCAAACCACTCCGCACACACCACCACCGCAAACGACGCAATCACCATCCCAGCAGGCGACTGCCGATTCGATACCGCCACGCCACAAACCTCCCACACAGCCTCCTTGACCTCCTTCTCCATCACCATCATCATACTCCTCCCAACCCTCACCCCAAATAACAAAGGATTATACATCGCCAACAGTATACGAATAAACCCCAAACTCTGCGCCGCCACAATATGACATCCATCCAAATACCACCTATTCGGGAATCTCCCACCATCACCACCATCATCAGAATAAACCGCCCTAAATGACCCCGGACACATCCTCACCCACTCATCCCTCCTCTCCACCAGCCCTTTATAAGCACTCACACTCCTCGCCGCCCCCTCATCAAAACAAAACTGAATCACATGCGCAGCTAATATCAACAACGCATTCACCCACTCATGATCCCCCGACGTAGCCTGCGGAGCAGGATACAAATCCAATATACCCAGTGGAATCCGGAAAGGCCGCTGCTGCGTAAACGCCATATGGAATTCTTGGCGCACGCCTACCCAGAACGCACTCTGCCGCAAACCCCAAGAAGTAGAACGATCACCCGTAAGACTAAGCGTCGGCCGGGCCTGCGCTTCAAGAAACACCTGCAAGCCACGGATAGCGGTAGTGGTGGGGTGGGGATGGAAGGGCGCTATACCATACACCTTATTAGTACACACCCCCTTTCTTGGTGTTTTAACGAGGGAGATAATACATACTATCCAGTTCCTCATAAAACCTCAACGTCACCACCGCGGCAAGGAGAGTCTCATCCAGAATGGCATTCGGCTCGGTGCTCACGGAGCGGAGATGCGCGATGCATCGGTTATGATAGTGCAGAGTGGTGGGTTCATCGATTGTGAGGCCATGGGGGAGGCCATATCGGCGCGTGATTTGTAGTTGTTGGTCTTGTGGAAGAGTGCTGAAGTGGCGGGCTGAGGTGGAGAGGACGGCGTCGAGGAGTGGTGGGCTTGTCCGCGCGCGTTGGGGGACGATATTCGTGAAGCTTTGGGAGGGGTCGCCGATGTCGAACTGTTGTTTTGGTCAAATGAGTTGGGGTGGAGTGGGTGGATGGGAATGGGGTTGGGGTTGGGGATACGTACCCATTTACCTAGGGTTTCGGAGAAGTAGCGGAGAAGGCAGGCTTCTTCTAGAGTGAGGTGGGCTTGGGGTGGATGTATGACTGTGGGAGAGGGGTTGGGCTCGAGGAATGTGTTTGGGGATGGTGTGGTGCATGGGATGAGAGGTGTTTTTGTAGGGCTGGTGATGGGCTGTGGTGCTGATATTGATGGGTGTGAAGGTTCATGCTGGTATAGAGCTGCCACGGCGGGTGTTTCGTCGACATAATCGAACGATACATCTGCGTATTCGTCTCAGTATATTCTCGCAGTTGCAGGATATCAACACACCTGATGTAGTTAGACTGCGCTGCTTCTGTCCTCCCGAGGCATGCTCGTACTCAGCACTCGTGCTGTTGAGGAATCTCAGCTTGGGTCGCGAGCGGATGCATCTTCGTCCAGAGGTTCGACATCTGGTGCATGCTGGGCGGCTGTCGTCACCTGGTAGTGGTTGTTTAAGCTGTATACTATTTACGCTTGGTGGGGGAGAGTTTGGGTTTACATTTCAGGTGATGTCCTGTACATGATCAGGATATATATCTAGCGTCGGTACTAGAGAGTCATCGGGATAGAACATACTTCGGCAATGCTGGCTACTACAAGTCATTTCACTGTCATTCAAAATCGCGACACAGGGTAAACATACCATGGATCGCGCCTTGTAGGCATCAGTAGCAGGTGCTTGTGGGATTGATGAGGGCAAGTAGAACAAAGAGCAGACTATCTGTCGAAACGGGAGGGGTTCGCCGAGGGTTACCCGTTCGGTCAGCAGTTCCACCCCGCATGGACTGCTTGTCTTCTATGCGGGGTTCACCACCATGATCCTTACCGACTTTGAGCTTCATTCCTCTTTCTTGTTGTGAGATAATCTGTGGAGACTTCAATTGCTGAGATTTTCTACACGACTGTTAGACTTCGCTCTGGATGATCCGAAACCCTCCTCCGTAGATCGGTCCAAAGTGCTGCATACTGTATGGCTCTTGAAGCCTTCGTATAGCGAAAGGGAGGCTGTACAACTGGACAGATACACTTCCTGCAGGATAGAAGATACTGTCACATACAAGGCTCTCTAAAAACCGCAATGATATTGCCGTGGCTGTGGAGCGTCTCCTACAGCAAGGGCGTCAATGATCACAGGATGGGAGCAAGCATGACCTAGCTACAGTACAGGTATGTTCATACCCAAGATCGCAATCTAGCTAGAGTCCAGTTTGCTCAGGTGGATTCCAGAACTACGAAGTCTTGCAGAGGTGCTCTAGGGTCTGCTCGCTGCGACGCATCGCCAACTGGTTGCTGCATGCCACCGCTTTGGCACCATCTCGCCGGCACTAACCGTTTTGGGGTTTATTCGGCGAGTGCTTCCATTTCGATCGTTGCAGTATACTACTACATCACTGCAGCATCAGTATCCAGCATTCATAGCCAGAAGGATATATAAACTCGCTCGATTATGCCGTTTTGAAAGATGAATCAAGCATTTAGAAGTGGTGAAATTCATGACAACTATTGTTATTGAAGATGTACATCCCCTTAATCCTCCTTCTACTCGCCCTTCTCGTCATCTACTACTCCATCCTCCCCATCATCAATTACTTCCGCGACCCTAAAGGCTTTCGCAAATACCCCAACCTCACATTTTGGTCCGGAATATCGGACCTACCCCTCGTCTACTTCTCTCACAAAGGCATCCGCTACAAGCGCCTCCTCGAAGCACATAAAACCCACCCCGTCGTCCGCATCGGACCCAATTATCTCTCCTATGCAGACCCTGAGGCCATCAAAGACATCTACGGCCACGGAACAACCTGCACGAAAGACATATTCTACTCCACTCTAGCCGGATCCCATTTCCACCTCGCCGATGTCGTCGACAAGGGCGAACATGCACGAAAGCGCAAAGTTCTGTCGAGCGCATACGCGCTCAAGAACCTAGAAACCTGGGAGTACAAAGTCGCCGACATGACGCACCGTCTAATCAAAGCGTTTGATGCACGATGCACGGATCCATTACCAAAGGGCCATCGCCCCCTTGAACAGGACCTCACAATTGACTATCGCATGTGGACCAACCTGTTCACCATTGCTGCTATCGCGAACATCGGTCTAAGCGAGGACATCAAATTCCTCGACCAGGAGAATGATCTAATCACATCAGAGTCAGTGGACGGCAAGACAAAGCGGGTACACTTCCGAGACTGCCTTTTCGCCACTGGCTCAGCAACAGCTACTCTGGTCTGGTGCTACGACTGGTACAAGACCCTGGTGCGAGCAAGCAAAATCCTGTCTCCGACATACAGCCAAAAATGGAAACTCAACAAAGACTGGGACGGCATCGTCTACAACCGTGCTACGACACGATGGAAGCGTTACGAGAATGGTGAACAGCTCGATGATTTCTTCTCTGCGCTCATGGAAGATAAATTACATGTTCCGCATAACCTGGAATGGGGCGAGATCGTCGCTGAAATCAGTATCATGATGAATGCCGGGTCTGATACAACTGGGATCTCGCTGAGCAATGTTATGCTTCTTCTCCTGAATAACCCAAGTTGTCTGGAGAAATTGCGGGAAGAGATTGACGGTGTCCTAGACGACGACGAGATCGTCGCACCTTACGACAAAGTCAAGCATCTCCCCTATCTTCGAGCTTGTCTGGACGAAAGTCTCAGACTGTTTCCGCCCGTGTCGTTTGCGCTTCCGCGGCGAACTCCTCCTGAGGGTACCATGATTCTATCGGACCACATCGCGGGTAACACCTCGGTCGGGATGTCGGCATACGTGATCCATCGCAATGAGTCCATCTTTCCGGATCCTGAGGCTTTCCGTCCGGAGAGGTGGCTTGGAGAGAAAGGAAAGGAGTTGCAGCCGTATTTCATCCCGTTCAGTACTGGTGCGAGAGGATGTATTGGTCGCAATATCAGCTACCTTGAGCAGACTATATTGGTTGCTTCGCTAGTCCATCGGTTCGACTTTGCTTTGCCGTATCCAGGTTGGGAGCCGGAGAGGCACGAGACGACAAATCTTGGTTCCGGGCCGATGCCGATGAAGATTTGGAGGAGGGAGGTGGCTGCGTGAACTGGCTTGACTTGATTTTTATTGTCATTTAGATGATCAAGATAGTGCGGTCAACTAAACTCTTATTCACAAAGGACGTGGCGGATAGAATATATCTCAATCAACTGCGAATATTAGGTAGAGGTGAGATGTTTTGCACCTCTACCATGCGAATAATCAGAGATGATAATTAAATTAAAAAAAATCCGATATGCTAAAGGCTTCGGGAGCTATGATGGGCAATTTCCCGTCAATAACGAATACAATTGCTCCGATGTATCTGAGAGCAGTAGTTTCAGCCAGTAGCGTATAGATCGATTTATGAGCAGATGAAGCTGGGATCACTAAAGAGGGCTGCCATCCATTCTCAAGTAGACGTATTTGAGATTGTCACCAATATTCCATGATGTAAAAATAATGGATTAAAAGACCTTGTGATGGCCATAACTAGTCCTCAATCCAATGTTCTAGAATATAATTCACGTAACATTTCTATGTACAACCTGGGTGGAAAAACCTACGGGTCTTGAGTTGGATTATGGAAAGTCTACAAATGACCTTCTTACGCTTTTTACATCTGGTCTTATTTAGGTGTAGGTACTTCCAGTTTGTATATATTTGTTGTAAAAAGCAGATTGCGAGCCATATGACTGGTGCCAAAGCCTAGTGAATGGAGCATGACACCAAGCAGAAGAATGATGAAGGACTATGTAAGCATGAAGCAGCTAAGACGAACCATCAGCCCCATGTGATGTTTAATCATTCTCTATCATCCTGTTTATCAAGATGATAGCGTCGTACCAGGATATGTGTTTAATCGGATAATTCATCGTCATCTTTGCCGCGCCGCTTTCCCTTTTTATAACTGGTGGTTGCAAGCGTAATGAGTCCCAGGCGGTTAAACTTGCCATTGATCATTGATAAGTCTTTATTCGAGACAGGCTCCACTGGCGATTGCATAATCAATGCCTTGAGAAGATCACATCCCAAGACTCGGGGAACACATTTCCCTTTCGATGCCTGTCTTCTACACCTCTCCAGAACAGCGCTGTTTATCCAGTTCACAACAACATTCCAGTCTTGTTCCTTCTTTACCAGCAGTTCCCAGACTGGCAGATACTTATCAGGATAAACGTCAGCCACCGCCATGGGCAATGCGCCCCACACCCTAATTAATTGACAAATCACTCTAGGCTTTTCGTCGGCAGATAAAGTCCACAAGTCCCAATCCTTATCATAGTAGTCTCCGATACTATCATTTCGAAGCTCAAGTTCGCGAGAAAACATTCTCTTCAACTTTGTCGCTTTTTTCTCCAAGGCAGCTGCTAGCATCATGGCCAGGCGATAGTAGTCAGCGGAGCGAATAGAGACCTCATCGAATGAACTAGCTTTACAGGCCTCCGAGTACATGTCCATCTGGCGAAGATCTATCATGAAGTCTTCGAACCAAGCTCGGATGGTATCAGCGGGGATCTGAGAGGTAGACCCAGCATCTGGATTTTCATTCTCCGGCTGAGACTTAGATAGACCCTTGGAAAGGTCGGGTTTCGCTCTATGCTATCGTGCGTATTCCATTTTCTTCTTCATAGCTTCATGTTTGGCCCGCCTGGCATCGTGAGATTTCTTCGCTGCCTTTTGGCGAAAAGTTTTGGGCCATTTATCAGCGGCTTCGGAAGGCATTGTTGTTGTAGTGAGCTATGGTCCTGCGTGGATTGAGGAGGATGTTTCTGTAGCTGCGTAGGTAAATCAGGTATGGTAGAGGTAGGCCTCACTAGGCAATGATCGTAGCTCTCATTGACTTGCTGGGGTGAATTATAGTATTCATGAAGTCAAATCCGGCCTCTACTTCGACCATTTTTACTTCCCTGTTATCTCAACTTCAGTCTTGAGTATAGATCCATAAACTCACTAACATCGCCATATTACTAAGTACATAAGAGCCGCATAGCTATCGGATTATATTCCATCATCCATCCAACCAATTAAGGGACCCTTCTCCACCAATCCACCTGCTATCCTAGAATCCATAAACATCTTACTCAAAATCCGTCCTTGAAGTGACCCCATCCCACTCGTCCCAAACCCTCATCAAGCCCTGACAAGTATTCCTCACAATACCAAACGTATCTGACCCCAAAGGCAATCTCAACGGCAACTCCATCCCCTTACAGCTCCCCTCCCCCTTAACAGCCTCAACCACCAACTCAGCACCCTTCTTCGGATTCCCCGGCTGGTTGCCACTCCACTCCAAACAACCGTCATACGCTCGCTGATTCATCTCGTCATACTCCGGCAAGCGATTCGGGTTTCGGTACTGAATTACCCCGGCTGCCATGACCTGCGTGCGAAAATGCCCGTACGTCAGAATCGACACCCGGATATTAAACGGCGCCACTTCCGTCGCCAGAACCGGCACCATACCCTCGATCATCCCCTTGGGGCATACATAGGTCCCCGCACAGGGAGCGGCGTAGTAGGTGCCTACGGAACCGGAGAAGAGGATGGTTCCGGACTTGCGAGCACGCATGTGGGGGAGGAGCGCGCGGGTGAGGGTGAAGGGGCCGAGGGCGTTGATGCGGATGGAGTTGAGGAGGAAGTCGTCTCTATAATTTTGTCAGTGAAGATGGTTTTAGACCCAAGAGTGTAGGGACGTACGTCATTTCTTCAAAGGTAGATATGTCAATGTATCCCGCGTTGTTGACTAGGACGTCTATTGGTCCGTACTTGTCCCAGATGTCTTGGGCTTGTTTCTTTATCTCTTCCTCTGGAGATGCCATATCAAGTTCGTAGACTGCTGCGCCGGCATCTTTGAGGGAGGAGAGACGGTCGGTACCGCTGATGCCTTTGCTGCCGCGGGCTGTGGCGATGGCTTTGTCGCCCTGTTGATATGAATTAGCTCACCATGCGTCCAATTTCGTTGCAGTACTTGTGTACAGAGAAACGCACCTTATCAAGAATAGCCCGCACCAAGGCCTCCCCCAGGCCAGAGGAGCAGCCGGTAACGAGCCAAGTAAGTTGCTGTCCGGCCATGATGTTGGAAAGAAGAGCGTAGCTGAAACAATGAGATAGTAATCTACAGCCTCGATCCGTTACTCCGGTCTCATATATATTAGTGGGACTACACTTATTAGAACCCCACCGTCAGCTTGGATAGCCTTCGATCTAAACAGGTAGTACTGTCTGGCCAGTTAGCTAATTGGTAGTCTTGTTGGTGCCGGATTCAGTTTCCATACCCCGCTTTCAGGTTGGACGCCTTAGACTTGGCCCTGTATGGATCATATGCGAAGTGGAACCATCTACGATGCGCATTAGCGTTTAGTGTAATGCAAGAAATATGCATCTCCACGGCAGACGAGGAATAGGATGAAAGTAGATGACGTCAATACTGATCTGGAAAGAAGGTGACTTTCATTGAAGATGAAAACCATGGTTGTCGAGCCCGCTATGCTTCTTTAGGGTCGGGCCGAGGTCAGCCCCAGCGATGACTACCATCACCGGCACCACAACTTTCGACTATGCGTTCGGACTTCAGCATGAAGCCGGTTCTTAAGGTAAGTAGGTTAGTATTTATTTGCTGCTGACGGGCTCTTAGGGAAAGGTGGAGTTATATGGAGCGACAGAGATGTTTTGAAGGTATCTTCTTTGCAAACATTATGTTCTCAAGTCCCAGGAAAACAAGCAAGGTATCAACATGATATCAGAACCAATATACAACCACTAGACCTAAACCCAGCCGGCCAGCCGGCCGCAAACATCAACAAAGAAAGTAACTAGGAGAGTGAGACAAGAGAGATCACTCCACAATCTCAAACTTCACATCCCTCTCCACTCCAAACGTCTCCTTCCAATCATCCCACAACCTCATCAACTCCTGCACATACGTCTCATGCAACTTATCAACATACTTCTCATCCATATCCCACCTCTGCTGCACAACCTCAATCGGCTTGCCGACAACAACATTGAGTGGCTTCCTATTCGGACAAAACAACCCAAACCTGCCCTTCGAAAACGCAACCTTGTGACCGACCGCAAACTCCCACGCTCTCGCGACCAGCCCTAGTGACGACGACGACTTTGTATCAATCAAATCAAACAACTCGTTCTCTCCGAACGCAATAACAGGGACTAGATCCGCCCCTGTCTCGACCGCGACGCGGACGAAGCCCTTGCGGATCTTGATCACAATCCCCATGGTGCCCGGCTTGGCGATGTTATACTCGCGGCTCCCGCCGACAGTGATGGCGATGGAACGGCCCATGCCTCGCTCGTCATGTCCACCGCGAGTGAGGTGCTTGATGCATGAGGTGCGGGAGACGCCGCTGGCCCCTGTTGCGAGAAGGTATTCACGCAGGAAGGGTTGGTAAAAGAATCCGTCTTTGACGAGCAGAGTGTTGGTTAGTCCCGGAAAGAGGGAGGAGAAGCCAACGCTGTCAGCGGCGAAGGAGCCAAATGCCCCGCGCAGGGCAACGCCGTGCGGGTGGTAGCCGAAGATGTATTTTCTTCTTGGGGATAGAGGAGCAGAACGGTAGAGGGTGAGAGGGAAGTATGAGGCGAAGGCTTTCCAAATGAAGGAGGTGCGGAAGGCGTCGTTGCGGTAGGGCAAGGTGCCGGATTTGTGGGCCTTGGAAAAGTATTTGATGTAGAGGATGTAGAGGAGGACGACCAGGCGGAGACGGGGAATCAGAAGAAGAGAGTAGGCCAGGAGAGGGAGGTGGAACCAGGTGGTGCAGAGGAGGGTCATGAGAACGGATTCGGCCATGTCGGTTAGGAAGGGTCTGTTGGTTGGTTAGATTAAATCTTATAGCGTTGTTGGGGTGGGAGAAAGGAAGGGAGGGAACTTACTTGGATGCGCCTTTGCCTTCAGTCTTGGGCATCTGCGCAGTTTGGAGGGTCTGGCCTGCACGATTCTTGATCTCGTACAATCGTGGTTGATTCTCTGGATCGGCTTCAGGGATGTGGATCGCTGTCGCTTTCTCCGGGTTACGTACCAATTCTGCAATCTTTTCTGCAGCGGCGACACGACCTTCTTTCTTACACAGCTTGGCAATTTCGGTTGCCTTTTCCTTGTAAGAGCGGTTGCTCATCACCTTCAGCAGTCCTTCGCTCAACTCTTTAGCGCTGATGTTGGGAGCCCGGCTCTTGTTGCCGTACACTCCTATGCCTAGCCATTCCGCCCGAGCAGCGTTCTCATAGCAGTCTTGCCAGGCTGGAAGGACGATATGGGGAACGCCATTTCTGAAAAGGTTAGGGTACAGCGCAGGATACGAATCTGAGGAGCAACTTACTGAATAGCTTCGTACCACGAGTTGGCACCGCCGTGGTGGACAGAGCAGACAATCTGGCCCGTTTGCAACATGGCCATGGGCTCCACCTCAAACCACGGGCGGATCAGCACGCTTCCCTCGTCGGTCTCCCTTTTGAGAGGCTCGATGGAGCGGCTGTAAATGTCGTCTTCATCATGTGGATGCTTGGGCAGCTTCCACAGAATTTGCACTTTATCGTCCTTCCAGGCGTTGAGAAATCCCTTCAGGCCAGTTGCAATCTCCTCGGCAACCTTGGGATCAGGTGCATACAAGGTTCCGAGATTGACGAGGATAGTTGGGGCCTGCTTCAGCCACTTGTGCATCTGAGGATCCTGCTTCTCGACAGAAGCGGTGGGAAGCAGGATTGGCCCAGCCGGGAGGATATTCTCAGGCATCTTGCTGAATGGCCAGTCCAGCTCTTTCAGGCCTGGGGAGATGTGGTATCTATCCGGACGCCAGGCATCGGCAAACGGAAAGCGACCGTGGATCTTGTGCTTGATGCGCCATTCACGGATCTCCCGACGTCGTCCACTGCCATGGTACATCTTGGCCGTCTTGAGGACAGCCATGATGTTGAGCGGGATGAGATGCCAGGGGATGGGGTAGGGGAAGCCAGTTCCAGGTCTGTTATATTAGCAATTGAGTAATCATACAGAGGGAAGATACTCACAGGGGGTATTTCCATAGAGCAGCCGAGTTGGGTTGCATTCCGAGCACAATGTGACTCAGGGAGGTTGTATTGATCAGGATGGCTGTATGGCCCGTGTTGTAGGCAGCATCTCTGCCTTGAAGGAAGAAGAAGTCAATTGCAATCGTCGATGGCTTGACCTCCTGGATGATCTCGACGCAACTCTCATAGATGTCAACATATTCCTCCTCCGTCCAACCCCAGATGTCTTCACACAGAGACTGGAAGCCAAGGACAGCACCATGGTAGCCCGGGGGGTGAAAGGCACCACGCTTGCCTGTGCGGATGAAGACATCGGTGTTGGAGGGACCCCTTACAGGGTGGAAGTGAATACGCGACCGGAAGGACTCGTCATAAGCAGGTGCGTTGTCTGCCAAAAGTTTCTCCACCCGGCGCTCAAGGACCGGGAATGAGCCAATATGGACTTCAACGTCTCCTTGGACGAGGAGCTCGTGCGTGATTGCCAGGATGATGTTCGTTTGACCATGTTCACTGTTGGCCAGAAAGAGGACTTTGGTAGGTTGTTTGGACATGGTAAGAAAAAAGAAGTATGCTCAATGCCAGACCCGCTGGTTGAGCAGTCAATTATAAGAAAAGAAAGAAGAAAAGAAAGATTCAGGGTTCAATGATTGAGAGAAGTTTCGAAAAGAGGTTGAACGAATGACAAGAGGCGGATTGTTGGACGAAACCGCAGTGAAACAGATGGACCCTGACACTACTTAAGGCACATTCAGAGTCCGCCACAAGGACCCTTTTAAACTCGTGTTCTTGTGATACGTGCTGACTCCGCATTGTTTGTGGTTAATTGAGATAGGAGGTGCTTGGCGGAGGAGTTGAGAATTCACCCAAAATTGAGGAAATTGGGAAGGGCGCCGGCGGAGTTTCAAGCAACGCGACCACAAATCTGGGGGTTTAGCTCCAACCCTAAACCCATCAGAATATCCCCCCTCCATCCATGGTTCCACGTCGCATCAGGATCGACATGGAGGGCCACACCCTCCAACAGGATCACCTGGTTCGATCAAGCCTCAGATCATCCTCAGATAACGGCGACTTCCCGAGGAATTACCGTGAATGGAACCTAATCCGACAAGGTTAAATGAGGTAAACTAAAAAACACTGGCGGAGTTCCCAACCATCCATCGGCTGACCCCTGTTGTTCTGCATGCCGGTCACAGCATTGGAGACTGGAGGATGGAGAAGGACGATGGAGAAAGGAGAACCAGAGCGGATCCCAACGAACAATTGCCCTCATCCTCCGCATGGCGATGGTCGGCCAGATCATAAATAGACCAAGTCTGAACTTTCCTGCTGCTGCTGTTTGACCAGATCCAACTTTCACTCTCTCGTTTCACTCGTCAAAATGGTGTTTGCGATGGCCTTGCCTTCGGGCCAAATGCCCGAGATTAACCCTAGCAACCTGTCCCTGCCGGTCATGGCGGTTGTCATTGTATGTCCTGCATTAACCTGGTGGTAGAGTGTTGGCTAATTGTCAGGTCCCTTGGATCTTCATTCTTTTGATCAAATTCCTTCCTCAAGGTCCTACCATCAAGGGTGTCCCGGGCTCCTTCCTCGATCTTTTCTGCTGTGGTGTAGGTAGCCTATCTTTACGCGACCTACCTCTTCCTCTAACAACATACAGATTGCTACCAAGCTCAACTTTGTCACTGGACGGAGTGCACACTACTTCAGCTCCCTCCATGTCTCATACGGTATGTTCCTCTTGACCGGTGCATTCTGATAGCTACTAACTCGAGCAGGAAAAATTGTCAGGTTCGCCCCAGGACAAGCCACCACCAACACCATCAAAGGTCTTCGTAACATTTACGGCGCCGGATCTGGCAAAGGCAGCACCTTCCTCAAGACCGGCTTCTACAAGGGCATCTCTCGCCGCAACATCTTCACGGCCAGCGACCCGGTCTACCATGCTTCCGTTCGAAAGCTGTTCAATCCCTCCATGACTCCCAACAGCATGCAAGCTCATGCAAACGTGGTTCTGGAATGTACCTCGCGCCTCCACGATGTCATCAATGCCACTCATAAGACCACCGATACCATCAGTCTCAACCGGCTGCTTTACTGCCACTCCGTGGACACCGTCTCCGAAGTGCTCCTTGGCAAGTCCTTGGGCTGTTTGAAGCGAGGCAAGCCGTACTTCTGGACCGAGCAGCTCAGCCGCATCTTCTTCTGGGCCACAATCCGTGACCAGTTTGCTGGGTCTGGAGTCCCCACTATGATCAAGATGATGCTGCGCTACTTGATCCGGAAGGGTGTCCGCTCTCGTGCAGAGCAGGCTCGGATGCGACTCATTAACGAGTAAGCGGATTCCCACAGTAGCGTGTTTAACACAAACACTAATGCAGGTTATAGGCAGTTGACTGCGTCCCACACCCGTCGCGACATCATGGTCGAAGTGATGGAGAGAGCCGCCACCAGTGACCTGCCAGTGGATGAAATTGCCGAGAATTTCTCAGCCATCATGTTGGCTGGCTTTCACACCACTCAAAACGCTCTCTGTGCCACCATCTACTTCGTTCTGACACACCCTGAGGCCCATGCCAAGCTGATCAGCGAATTGCAAGCGGCGTTCGCCTCCCCTGAAGATATCTCTGGAGATGTCGCCGCGAGCCTACCCTACCTGAACGCCATCATAACGGAGTCTCTCCGTCTGTACCCACCAGTGCCACTTGGAGGCCCGCGCGTCTCACCGGGAGCCTATGTTGACGGGACTTACATTCCAGCCGGGGTAAGTGGCCTGACATGACCTGCTCGAAATTTGAGTTTGCTAACCAGCCAATGCGTCACAGACCGAAATTTGCACATCCCTGTTTGCGCTACATCACAATCCCGAATACTTCAACGAACCATATGAGTTTATTCCTGAGCGGTGGACAGACCCCGAATCCACCGACAAGAAGGAGGCAGTTCAGCCCTTTTTGGTGGGAAGCCGGTCCTGCGTTGCCAAGTACTTCGCGAAACAGATGATACAACTTACTTTAGCGTCATTCTTCATGGAATACGAAGCAGAGTATATTGGTCCTGTCAAGGACTGGCAGCGGGAGAGTCGCTGCTACGCCTTCTGGGAGGTGCCCGATTTGAAGCTGAAGCTCCGGAAGCGAGAGGCTATCTAATATGAACCCCAACTTAATTCTTTCTTTCACGAAAATTCCCTTGACCTTGACATGTTTCTTTCTTTTCATTTCTTTAACCTTTTCTCTTCATCTACTTTCTTTCATTTACACTTTGTGGATTTAAGATTTGATGCTATACCCAGATTAAAGTTTTGGTGCAACACCATAGTTTCCAATATAACATTAAGGAACGAAAATTTTTAAAGTTTTCATCCGAGGAATTTGATCCATCAAACCGAGGCTTCTTACAAGAAACTTAAAGTAGTTAGCTAAGGTAGTGTAGAAAACGTGCTAAGACCAACTAAACAGGGTCCAATGGCATCTGCCAGTCAACGACTTCAAACGGCGGCGCGGGACCCAAATTTGAGTCAACTCCACCGGTCCTCACCCAACCCCAGTTTCAACAAGATGCGCCCGAACCCACTCCCCGAAACAAGCACACACACCCGTAGCCAAGGCCGGTAGAATTGTCGGAGGGGTTGTAATATCCGACATACGGATCTGCGGCTGAAAGGGTTGAGGTTCCAGGCATGAGTGCAGCAACACATGGTTATCTCGCAGCCCTAATATTGGGTTTCTGGCCTTGTGCCTGACGATCCCGTTCGGCTTGAAACGCTGGTTTCCACGCGGGCCATGTCCCTGGTTAACCCATCTTTGGTTCTTTTGATAATTAAAGTTCCTGCAAGTTAACTACGAACTCGTGCCCCGATGGATGGCTAGAAATGCGAATAAGGATGGTCGGGATCTGCTGGGGATCCGTGGGATTCGCTGCAGTTCACCTCGGGCTGTGTTTACCATTTCTGAGGTTTCAAGTATAGGGGTTTTCTTCCTCCTTGTTTCTGGATTTCTTGGAGATGCTATGACTTGTTTCCCTTCATGTGACGGATAGATTGGATCCGGTCTCTGTCCGATTGACTTTGGACTGGGCATTTCTGTTGGGCTGCGACTCGTCTGATCGTTGTGTCATCTCTTTCTGTTGGTCTGTTGCTTTTCTTGCTACAATACACTAATAGTAATGTCCACTTGATGGCGCATGCTGGTAATCACCATCTGTCGACATCATGAAGTGGAAGGAGGACATTTGCCTGGAAGAACTTCCTAAGGTGAGTGTCACTATCCCCATGCTATATGAAACCCACTGTACAACTGACACATGCCACAATAGTCTCCGGGCACAGATAGCACTGCCATCTCCCTGTCCGAGGTCGAGAAGGACATCCTCGACAAGCAGGTGAATGCGCCCACATCTGAGCCAGGCTTCTTTGGCATCTATCGATATGCCAGTCGCTTGGACATATTCCTCATCATCCTCAGCTCGGTCGCATCTGTAGCAGGAGGGGCTGCTCTCCCTCTGTTCACCGTGAGTACATTTGTTCTCTATCTTCAGCATTGTCCTAACCATCATAGGTCCTCTTCGGCAACCTCACCTCAACCTTCCAAGACATCGTCGCCGGCACCATCACCTACGAGCACTTCCATAACGAGCTCAATCGATATGTTGTTTACTTTATCTACCTCGCCGTCGCCGAGTTCCTAACCATCTACATTGCGACCGCCGGCTTCATCTATACCGGTGACCATGTCGTCCAGCGCATCCGCGTGGAATACCTGCGCGCCATTCTGCGCCAGAACATTGCTTTCTTCGATAACCTGGGAGCCGGTGAAATTACCACCCGCATCACGGCAGACACAAACCTGATCCAGGATGGAATCTCCGAGAAAGTCGGCCTGGCGCTGACTGGTTTATCCACCTTTGCTACGGCATTCATCATCGCCTACATCAAGTTCTGGAAGTTGGCCTTGATCTGTAGTTCCACCCTTATTGCCCTGCTGGTTATCATGGGCGGAGGATCCATGTTTACCATGGTGTATAGCAAGAGATCGCTTGACTGTCAGGGTCGTTGCGGTAGTTTTGCCGAGGACATTCTTGACTCCGTGCGGACAGTTGTGGCCTTTGATGCTCAAAATGTGCTGGCTGCCAAGTACGATGCCCATTTGCTGGAGTCTGAGGGGCCTGCCAGGAAAGCACAGATCACCTTTGCCATTATGGTGGGTGGCTTGCTCTCCTGCATTCATTTGAATTATGGGTTGGGTTTCTGGCGCGGAAGTATCTTCCTCGTGCATGGAGATAGTGGTGTCCAGGCAGGTGATATTCTCACCATCCTCATGTCCATTATGCTGGGGTCGTACCATCTGGGCAACGTTGCCCCGAACACTCAGGCCATCTCGAATGGCGTGGCTGCGGCATCCAAGCTGTACAGTACCATTGAAAGGCCGTCGCCCCTGGATGCGTCGTCAGATCAGGGTCTGAAGCTCGGCCACATCAAGGGCAACATTGTCCTGCAGAACATCAGACACGTCTATCCGTCGCGGCCTGAGGTCATTGTTGCTAATGATCTGAGTGTCTACATCCCAGCTGGGAAAACGACAGCATTCGTTGGGCCCTCGGGATCCGGTAAGAGTACAGTCATCGGCCTGATCGAGCGGTTCTACAACCCCGTTGCTGGACGAATTACCCTCGACGGACATGACCTGCAGACCTTGAACCTGCGCTGGCTGAGACAACAAGTCTCTCTAGTATCTCAAGAGCCTCGGCTCTTCTCCGCCAGTATCTACGAGAACATCAAGTTCGGGCTCATCGGGTCCGACTTTGAGAATGAAACCGAGGCACAGATTACCAAGCGGATTCACGATGCTGCTCGCATGGCCAATGCACATGACTTCATCATGGCACTTCCCAACCGGTACGATACGAACATCGGGTCCTTCTCGCTGTCTGGTGGCCAGAAGCAGCGTATTGCTATCGCACGAGCGATCGTCAAGGATCCTCGTCTGCTGCTGCTCGACGAAGCGACTTCAGCGCTGGACGCAAAGTCGGAGGAAATCGTGCAATCAGCCCTAGACAAGGCCACCAAGGGCCGTACAACCATTGTCATTGCCCATCGCCTCTCCACGATCAAAGACGCACATAACATCGTAGTCCTCGTCAACGGCCACATCGTCGAACAAGGACCACATAGAGAGCTGATGGACCGGAGAGGCGTCTACTGCGACATGGTCGAAGCTCAGCAGATCAGACAGCGGGACAAGAAGCGGCACGAGTCGATGACGTTCTTCTTTGACGATGACTACGCTACTTATCCCATGGATGATCAAGACATCCTAAGCGATGATGGTTCATTAGTCGGGCTCAAGTCCGGCAGCAAAAACCAACGACCTCGCAGCCGAATGTCCATGTTCATACCGCCGCTGCCGACAAAAATCAAACAGACCTTCTCCCTGTGGTCGCTATTCAAATTTTTAGCATCATTCAACCGCCCCGAATGGCCGATCATGTCCCTAGGTCTCGCTGCTTCCATCGTCGCGGGCGGCATTCAGCCCTCTCAAGCCGTCCTCTTCTCCAAAGCCGTCAGCACTCTCAGTCTCCCGCCCTTTGAATACCAAAAATTACGCCATGACGCCAACTTTTGGTCCCTGATGTTCCTCATGATGGGCATGATCACCCTCTGCATCTACAGCCTCCAGGGGACCCTCTTTGCCTACAGCTCTGAGCGCATGATTTACCGCGCTCGCAGCCAAGCCTTCCGGGTTATGCTGAACAAAGACATTTCCTTCTTCGACCGCGAAGAAAACACCACCGGTGCTCTGACCTCCACACTCGGCGCTGAAACCAAGCAACTAGCCGGAATCAGCGGCGTCACACTGGGCACCATCCTCATCGTCTCCGTCAACCTGGCCGCCTCCCTGGTTGTGGCCCTAGCAATGGGTTGGAAACTCGCCCTGGTGTGCATCTCCGCTGTCCCAGTACTCCTCGCCTGTGGCTTCATTCGCGTCTGGATGCTCGACAGAATCCAGCGTCGCGCTAAAACGGCGTACCAAAAATCAGCTAGTTCTGCTTGTGAAGCAGCTTCCGCTATCCGCACGGTCGCTTCTTTGACTATGGAACCGGAGGTGCTGCAATCCTACGAATCGCAGCTCCATAAACAACTGCGAAGCGACATCTTCCCCATAATCAAGTCCTCTGCTCTGTATGCTAGCTCCCAGGCCCTGCCATTTCTATGCATGGCGCTCGGGTTCTGGTATGGAGGCAGCCTACTTGGAAAGGGCGAGTACTCCCTGTTTCAGTTCTACGTCTGCTTCAGCGAAGTCATCTTCGGCGCGCAGGCCGCAGGGACGATCTTCTCTCACGCCCCGGATATGGGCAAGGCCAAAAATGCGGCTGTGGAGTTCAAGAAACTCTTTCGCAATAACAACCCCACCACTTCCGCTATCAATAGCTACCGACACGGGCCTCCGGTCCACGTTGCTACCATGCAGGGAGAAGTTGAGTTCCGCGAAGTGTCATTCCGGTATCCCACGCGTCTGGAACAACCGGTTCTGCGCCACTTGAATCTTACAGTCAAACCAGGACAATATGTCGCTCTGGTGGGGTCGAGTGGTAGTGGCAAAAGTACTATTGTTGCCTTGTTGGAACGGTTCTATGAAGCGCAGGTGGGTGAGATCTACATTGACGGACGGAACATCAATGCGTTGGACAAGAAGTCGTATCGCAGTCATTTGGCGCTGGTCAGTCAGGAACCGTCACTGTTCCATGGTACCATTCGGGAAAATATTCTCCTTGGTTGTACAGATAAGGAGCACGTGTCAGAGGATATGGTAGTCAAGGCGTGCAGAGATGCGAACATTTATGATTTTATCATGTCGTTGCCGTGAGTTCCCCTTTCACTTTCTTTACGGTATATGCGGTTACTGATGAAGAAACAGACAAGGCTTTGACACCCTGGTCGGCAACAAAGGAGGCATGCTGTCAGGTGGGCAGAAACAGCGTATCGCTATTGCGAGAGCATTGATCCGTAACCCCCGCATATTGCTGTTGGATGAGGCGACTTCCGCGCTGGATTCCGAGTCGGAGAAAGTGGTGCAGGCTGCGCTGGACGCGGCTGCAAAGGGGAGAACCACTATTGCGGTAGCCCATCGTTTGAGTACGATTCAACGGGCAGATATGAT